TGCTGGCCCGACCTCAGCACCGAAGACGACGGTGCCGACATCTCAGTCGCCATTTCCTACGCCTGTCAGCAGCATGCCCACGACGGCCCCTGCCAGCAGCATGCCAACGGTGACCCCGACAGCGAAGTCCACCTCGTCGACCTCAGCGCCTACAACGGCCCCGACGAAGATCGAAGTGCCTGCGAGCGAGAAGCCTTACGCAAACACGCCAACATCCGCTTCTCTGAGCAAGACACCGAGCGACTATGATCAGACGACCACGGGCGCTACTGAGGTCCCTGCCACTACGCCGATTCCGAGTCAGTCGACAACGGTGGCGCCGGCCAACAAGTCGCCAAGTACAGCGTCGTCGCAACGTCCGACATCCGCCCAAGGCTGCACCAACGTGAGTGTCGTCGGCGATGCTACCTATTGCATCGCAGGCCCGGTGTGCTCGGGTGCCGGCCTCATCCCGGCAGGCTCCAAATGCCCCGTCAAGAACGACGCCGCCATCGCGGCCTGCATCAAAACGCTGAAGAGCTACGTCGACGGCGTCAACTGCCGCGCCCCGGTGGATGCTGTGTGCCAGAAGATCCCGTCGGGTGTGTGGGGATGTGTGTTCCCGACGGTGTCCACCATCCCGAATGCGTACCCGGCGCCAACGCCCGCGTCGTCGATCCCGACAAGCTACCCTGTCCCAACTCCGGCGTCTACCTTCCTCCGTGCTTAGCTGTAGCCTCGTAAACAACAAATGCATTGTTAGTACAAACAAACGTGGGCGCTTGCGGCGACCTGTAGTATAGACGTATGACCTCGACCGCTGCATCTGACCATCACATCATGACGCATGTATTTTCAATCATGCACTGCGCGAGAAGCGGAACACTCGACCGCTTCATCTTGACGCAAGGCATGCTACGAGGTCTACACTCCAGCCATACATCTCGATCGCAATGCATGACGCACCTCCATGATGACCTTGTCCTCAGTGCCGACCAGGTGCAATGGGCTGTCAGTGGCTGCTGGACACCGACCACACCTTGGCACCTCGGCCGCTCGCCAAGTGGTCCAGCGATAGCTCACCCACGACCACCACGACCACAAATGGCCCGAGAGGCCACTCCAGCAACATTCGTTGCGCTGCAGGGAGGTCTTTAATGAGTCATCCGCTGCCTGCCGCGATCGTCCGACCTCGTTGCATCGTTCCACGGCCCAAGACGCTTCCGCATTGACAGCTGCTCGGAACGTGCCGTGTCCACGCAGAGGCATACCACGAACCCATATGCCACGAGCCGATCTTTGCCCTTGTCGCCAACGCTTCTCCAGGCCCAGCGCCAATGCATTGGAGCAGGCGCAAGTAATCAAAGAATGCATATCGTTCACAATCTGTCATCGGTCCAGGAGGCTACGCGCGTGGACCTTGAGGAGCGCGTTGAAGTACGCCGTGTCGGCTTCGAACGACTGAGCAAAGCGCATTTGGGCTTCGTGTTGCATGCAGCGAAGCCGATTCGCGGGGTCGGCGCAGGCGGCGGCGGCGGGCGACACGGCCTCCATGCGAATGTACTCGCCACTCGGTGTGCGAAGCCCGGTGGCGAAAAAGCCCTCTTTGATGACGGTCACGTTCTCGCCCACCGACTCTGCGACTGTCCTACACCCGAAGATTATTTCCAAATTGCACACTGAGGCACAGACCATTCGGTCCAGCCACACACAAGGTCGTCGGCGGGGAGCGCTTCGTCGTCAGTGATGCAGTGTCGGAACGAGATGTACCGACGTCCGTCAAAGTAGTGACGCTGGAGAACGTTTTGAACGAACGGCAAATGCACCGTGAGCCCGTACGGCGAGAGGTACCGCGTGTAGAGCACTTCGTCCGTTTCGGTGAGGCACTAGACATGTGCGATATGAAACCAAACGGCCCACGACACGAGAGGATATAACCCGCGCCTCCAAGTAGGGTGGAAAGTCCTTGGCAAATTGCTCGAGGCACGCCGCCGCAGCGCTAACGTCGGCGTGCACGTAGCGCACCGAGCAGCCCTGGATGCGATACGTCTCATCGAGCTGGGTCACCGTGGTGCTCTGGTAGTTGTCGTGCGTGTACGGCAAGCCGGACGCTGCCATGAGCCCGTCAATGTTGTGAAACAAGCGGTGCGTGATCCACTCCATCGCCTCGAGGCGCGTCGCGGGGTCTATCGGAAGGCTGGCGTCTTGCCACGTCAGGCGCGGCGACGGGTGCCCCTAGTCGTACAGTGTAGGATGGCACCCAGAGGTAAGATGAACGTACGTGCACGTGGCTTGTACGCGTGACCCATGCGTGCATGGCTCTCTGGAACGCTTCGTTCCTTTGCACTTGTCTGCGCAGCGAGGCGTTGGCGGCGCACACGGCGCGAAGATCGGCGCCGAGCGCCCCGGCGACGTCGCGCCACGCCAGCATCGTTGCGGGCGACGATCGCGCGACTGGTGGGCTGGATCGTCGCTCGAGCTGCTCGAGCTGCGCTGTGAGCTGCACGACGCGGTCGCGGAGGTACTGGAGCCCGGCGGCGTCGAGCTTGCGGTATTCACGCCGCCGGCGCAGACGGTTCGCCTTGGCTTCGTCCTCCATACCCGTTTAGCGATTGCCGCCGGCGTCTCGAAGCAAGACAGCGTGTGCCACATCCGCAAGCATGTCCCAGTGCGAGCACCTCTGGCTGCGCTCCGTGTCGCGTGCGCCTTGGTCCAGGGAGTCGGAGGCCATTGGATCGTATGGCGGCCGCCTGCCCGGTCCTCTATGAGTCATACACAAGTCTGATTGGCTGACACGGCAGAATTCCACGGAATTCTCGCGCACACGTCGCCGGATCTACGGTGCATCTGCGGCGATGGGCGGCGCAGCGGCTCGGGACACGGAGACGACGTGCTCGTGGTGCTGCACATGCGCAAAGGGCGCTGGCTACCGAGCGTACGAAATGCAACCCACCGTGAGCAACTTCTGGATGGCTGGCCATGTCACGCGCTGCGGATGGCTGCCAGCGTGATACGAGACATCACGCCGTTGACTGGTCGACCCAGATGGTGACGTTGCAGCTGGCTCTGCATGGACCGAAACCGACGCGACACGACCGAGGACGTGGCAGAAGCCACGGTTCTCGTCGCCGAATCATCGAATGACCCAGAACGAGCTCCGCATGGTCGTTCCACAATGACAAAGGTGCAGCTACTCGCCGTCTCGCCCGTGATGAATATCTGCAACCGCCTCGTCGCCAGATAAGCATGTCGCGGTGGACACGACGGCACAAGACGCTGTCTTTTGTTGGACAGGTGATGCGACTAGGCGTGGAATATTGTTTTGTAATGCGTTGAGTGCACACGAGCCCGCCACGTCAGAGTTACACCCGTGGTCTTGTCAAGGCGCGTGCTGCAGGTACGACCATTTGGGGGACGGCGATGGTTTCTTCTCCGGCTTTTGCGTACAGTCTATTCACGCGATCACCAACCCGTGCACAGTGCGCCGTCCATGCTCTATTTGAACAAACGGCGCGTGTCCTTTCTGCTGGCCAAGAGACGTGCCGCGCTAGTTGTGCACTTCAATCAGGCAGAGTCCGTCGGAGGCGACGCTGTGGAACAAAATGTTCCTTGTCGTGGAGCTAATCTACTAGTGCTACGGCGCGCTGTCGTCAACATGGACCACGCTGTCCTATTGACAGCGACATTGAGATCTTATTGCGGCTCTTGGCTTGCTGATCCTCATGCCAGTCGGGCAATCAACTATGCCACGCAAGCCGAGTGGGCAGTGACGTGGCGTTTCCGTTGCACCGAAAGCCCATCGGTGCAACGTAATCGCCACGTCACTTCAAGTGCACTTTGCTGTTTCGTCGTGGGTTTGGAGCCAGAGATGCCTGCGCAGCGCCTTCATCGCAGTCTTTCAAGGCTTGCGCACAGCGAATGGTACACGCAACAGTACGTACTGCAGCCTTAATTGCTGGGTACATCCCAAGTCTGAGCTCGTAAAGCTCCTGCATCCTGATTAGTGTATGATGGAGTCGCGAGCGACGGTCTGTGGTGCGATACTAGACGTGGTCGCGGCACCAAACAACGTCGCGATGGCACCGCCGCAATGAAACGCGCGCCGAGCTCTCGTATCGGAGGAGATCACGGCGCGAGTGCTGTTACCCATCATGTCGATCTCTCTCGGTGCGGTTTTGTCTCGTCTAAACAGGACATTGCCTAATTCCAATGCATTTAGGACTAATCCTACACCATTTGCTGCTCAAATATTGTTGGTGAAGATGCTGCATGCGTTCGATGCGTCCAAGCGCGAGTCGCTCCAGAAGCTGCAGGACGCGATCGACAAGTCGCCCAAGGGCAGCATCGATGCGCCGATCGTCGATATGATCGAAGCCGTGAACGGCCATCCCAACTACGTACGCTGCCATCGGTCACGGCTGTGCATCACCGCTCGTGTAGGTCACGAGCAGCAGTTGCTCGGGGCGCATCGCTGTCTTTTGCGGCGTCGCCGAAGACGGCGCCGACCACTTGATCACGAAAGGCGGCAAGTGGCTCGTGAGCTCGCACGCGCCCGTCTCGTACGACGAGCTGCACGCGGCCGTGCTCGCCGACCCGTCGCAGCTCAATGGCATGGTATGCATCACATTTTGCCGTCCTATACGATGGCGTTTTGTTCCAGGTCATCTTCAAGCACGAGCCGTTCATCATGCACGTGCAATGCCGCGACGAAGAGGCGGCCAAAGCCATGCTCCAGTGCGGTCTCGCCTGCGGCTTTCGCGAGTCGGGCGTCGTCCTCGGCAACAAGCGGACAATGGTCGCGATCCGTACGACCGCCAACTCGATGGAAATTCCGATCGCGCTGAACGGAAAGCTCATGGTCGACGACGTGTATTTGCGCTGGATCCTTGCGATCGCCAACGAAAAGTTTGCGGCCAACGTCGTCAAGACCCAGCGCTTCATGGCCGAGCTCTCGTCAGCGCTCTTTGCGCCGCCGCGCACGCAGCTAACGTCAATGTCGGCAACGCGCGCTGCTATCGAAGTGCTTCGTGCCGGCCACACGAGCGTCCTCCGTACGCACCTCCCTCTCTCCCGAGGTGGTATCACTCATGAAGCGAGGCTAGACAAGGGCCGCGTCTACTTGCTTGGCGGCCAAGGTGCCACCGCCACGGGTACCTCGCGTCTCAGTGACGTTGTTGTTGTCGATGCCGCCACCAAGGCCGTTCTGCAGACATGCGATATGCCCATGACCGCCCGCATGCACCACTCGGCTGTTGTCCACAACGGCGCGATGCTCGTCTTTGGCGGTCGCGCGAGCCCCACAAAGGCGCTCAACGAACTCTACTCGATCAACCTCACGACGCTCGAGTGCACGGTCCTGGCGACAACGGGCGACGTCCCTTCTCCGCGCTACGGCCATGCTGCAGTCCTCGGTGCGTAGCTTCTTCTTGACGTTGTGAAGGGAGCTTCATCGATACGCTCTAGTCGGCAACGCCATGGTCATTCTTGGCGGTCGTGATGCCACGCGTGTTCTCAATGACGTGTTTGTGCTCGACCTTGGTGTGACGCCGCCGGCGTGGCGCGTTCGCCGGTCCGGTATGCCATCGCTTGTGAAGAATGTTGCGAGCCAAATGTAGGACCGAGTATGTTTCAACACGCGGCGGTGGCTGTGCGCCAGGAGGTCTACTGCTTTGGGGGGCGCGCGACGCCCGACGCGCTGGATGAAATGACGCTCCAGAGCCTCCACGTGTACGACATGATTGGCGACTCGTGGCGTGTCCAAGCCACGACCGGCAAGGTGCTGCCGTGCGCACGGGCCAGTCTCCAGGCGGTCAACGTCCAGGACCAGCACATTGTGCTCACGGGCGGCTCGTCGTCGCTCATGACGTGCCAGCGGGACGTCTTTTCGCTCCACCTCGACCGTACCAACGGTGTTGAATGGCGAGAATGGCTTCAAAACACACGTGTAGGAATGAGCTGGCGGCAACACGAGGCGCTCGACGACGGCGCAGTGTTGAGCAGCCACAGCATGGTCTACGACGACGCGACCGCGTCGTGTCTCATCACGGGCGGCAGTTGCCAGTGCTTTGGGTTTGGAAGCGTGTACAGCCCCGTCTACGTCTTGGCCCTCGAGCTCCAGGTGGTCGTCGAGGCCAGTACGGCTAGCGCCAGTGCGACAACCGCACCCGCCTCCAAGACACTGGTCATCGTCGTCGAGAAGGCCCTTGTCAAGACGGTCAAGACACGCCTCGAAGCGCTCTCGCTCTACGACAAGAACCGTCGCATCGCACCCGTGGTAGGCCCACCATTGCGCCTACTGCGTAGTATGCACATCCCTCATCCCTTGCTAGGTCAATGGACCTGTCGACGGCGCCTGCATGGTGCCCGTCTACGACGCGATCCAGCAGCTCGGTCCGGACGAGGTCGTGTGCAATGAACTGCGTTTTTGAATCTCAAATGCGCGTAGGTTCTGGAGAAGCACTTGGCGCACGTCGTGCCCGAGAGCGCTGCGGCCACTTGCGTCATCGCCATTACCAACGCCGCGCCTATTCGGGTCAAGAAGACGCCGGCAGTAACGTCGGACGCCAAGCTTGCGGTCCCTCCGTCCAAGAAGAAGAACAAACAGAAGAAAGAAGCAGCAGCAACGACCACGGACGTCCCGGTCGCCGTCGTCGCGCCAAACACGCCTGTTACGGAGGCCCACGGCGTGCTCGTGCCGAAGGACCAAGTCAAGGCTGTCAAGACGCAACTCGAAGCGCTCGGTCTCTACGACAAGAGTCGCCGCATTCACCCTTCGGTAGCACCGTCTATCGATACAAGCAGAGTCACCAAAACGTCCTGTAGAACGAGGACCCGAGCGTGTTTGTAGCGCCGATTTTGGTCGCCGACCTCCCGTCGGTACGTCGACGCCCCGTGCCGTCTTCTGTAAGCACCGTCGTAGAGCTTGGCGCACTTGCCGGTCGTCGTAGACGCGGCGAATGCTCGCAAACCTGTGCTCAACCCCAACGTCCTCGTCCACAGCCTTCTGCAGGCGCACGCGGCGGCCCACGGCCTCGGCCTCGCGCCCTCCAAGTTTGAGTTTATCGCAGACATTCTCGTCTTGCCCAAGGTCGGTCGTGGCCACTGTTGGTTGGAGCTCATGGCCATGGTGCTTAGAACGCTTGCATGGAGCCTGCGTGGCGAGACCGAACGCTCTGGCTCGCGGTCGCCGACGCCGTGCAAACCATCCGCCGTGTCGCGCGCAACGCTGACGTCGACCCGAACGACCGCCGCCAGAGCCGCGTGTCGCTCCTCTTTGTCCACCCGGCGTTTGAGCCGCCTTCCAAGTACTCGTCGTCTCTTGGTCCGTAGCTAACGATGACAAATAGCGGTGTGGGCTGGGTCGAGGTGCGCGAGAACGGCCTCACGTACGGCTGGGACATTGAAAGGGTCATGTTTTCCTCGGGCAACGTCACGGAGAAGGCGCGCATGGCCCGTATCGGTCCTCCTATATCTCGTCTTCTTCCAAGAATCTCCGCCAAAACTCGATGTAGGCTGTGCGAACGAGGTGATTGTCGACTTGTACGCTGGCATTGGCTACTACGTCGTGCCATTCCTCGTCCACGGCAAGGCCGCGTACGTCCACGCGCTCGAGTGGAACCCCGACTCGGTCGCGTGCCTCCAGCACAACCTTGCGCGCAACGGCGTGAGCGACCGCTGCTCTGTCTACTTGGGCGACAACCGGGTGACGGGCCCGAGCCTCGGTGCCATTGCCGATCGCGTCAACCTCGGGTACATGCGTCACCGTCGGATACGGACCTCATGCGCGACGAATCTTAGTTTGCTGCCGTCAAGCGAACTCGGGTGGCCCGTTGCCGTCCAGGTGCTCAAGGCCGGTGGCGGTATGCTGCACGTCCACGAAAACGTCGCCGTTGATCACATGGACGCGTGGTACGCGACTGGTCTCGCCTTGGGCTCGGTCTCATGCAACCAATGTTACGCTGTAGGAAGCAGCATGTTGTGCGCTCGATCGAATCGCTCGCCGTCAGCTTTGGCAAGCACTGGACCGTCGAGCTCGTGCACTTTGAGCGCGTCAAGTCGTATGCGCCCAAGGTCTTCCACATCGTGGCCGACCTTCGGTGCTCGCCGCGCCCGACTCTCTAGTCGATCAACACCCTCGCCCTAAACATGTTGTGCTTCGATGGCATCTCTAACAAGTCTTGGCGCTGAAGCTCCTACCTCGTACTGCGTGGGACGAGGTCGGAAGCGCCGTCGTGTCCCACGCAGAAGCGTTGTGCCAACGCTTGTTGACGGCTAGCTTCCTCAACCCTCTTCATCTGGCGTTGGCCTCGAGGCAGGCCAAAGGTGTTCTCGTAAGCACTGTGTTCGGGTAGCCGTAGCCGAGTAGCTGGTTGAGGTTGGTAGCTGGTTCTGGTGTGGTGCAATGTGGGTGTTTTTAGCCAACATCTGCGACTGGTGAAATCCGCGGATCCGGTCGCTAGCAACTACTAGTACCCGCCATGTTTGCGTCGCGGAAGAGCTCGGAGGACGGACCGCGCATGGGCCCTGAGCGCGACGCCGACTCGCTGGGCGATGACGAGCACGACGTGCTGCGCAAGGCGATCGCGTCGCCGATCGACGACGAGGCGGTGGTCGCCCACGTCGCGACCCTCGTGCAGCTCTGCCAGCTGCGGCACCAAGCACAGGACGCGCGCACTGATCCATTGGGGCTGAGCCTCGGCGCTGGACGGCACAAGGACGACCGGACGTACCTCAAGCATGTGGCCGAGATCCTTGCCGACTTGCGTCGCGTCCGCGTCGACGGCGCATCGCTCGTGGCCATGTGGGAGTGCGTGCAGGACCTTCTCAGCCACCGGTCCGCCGACGCCCGCGCGCTTGCATTTGACTTTATCGACACGTGCTTTGACTTGCACGCTGACCGGGTACGCCTTGGACGCTTGAACGATGTAGGTATCGACGACCCTTGTAGGCGCTCATGGCGCTGCGCACCTCGATCTTTCGCGCGCTGCTGCAAGGCCACGGCGACTATAGTCGGCGGCAAAAGAGTCTGCGCCGCGTGCTGCAGGACGGACGGCTCGTCGGCCCGTTCGCGACCGACCTCGGACCGTACCTTCTCCAGCTGCTGCGCGAGTCGGACGCGCAGAAGGATCTCCTCTCGCTCCTCCACTGCATCGTTCGGCGCTCACCGCATGCGCTCTCTCTGGAGGTTATCACGGAGTTTGCTGTGACGCTGGCCGCGCACTCGGACGTGGCGTGGACGCGCGGCGACACGGACGTGGGGGAGCGCTTCCTCATGTTTGCGTCCAAGCTTGTGGCGCACAAGCTCGATCGCGCTGCGTCAGCACCCGCGTGTCTCCAGACGATCTGCGGACTGGCCAACAGTCTGGCCGACCTCACCTGGGGCGTCATCAAGAAGCTGCTCTTGGGCCCGAGCCGGCACCATACCCTCCACGGGCTCCTGGACCTTCTCGAGACGAAAGCGACGTCGCCGTACGTCCAGCGCGGCGCCATCTACTTTCTCGCCATGTCGTGCTGGGGCTGGAAGCGCATCACGGAGCTCGAGTTTGGCTGGGCCACGATTTTGCAGAGCCACCGGCGCGCGCTCGAGTCCCACCACGTTGTCGTCGTCCAAGAAGTGGTCGTCTCGCTCCTCCGGCTCGTCAAAAAGTACGGCGACCAGCTCTTGGTCGAGTGGCGCATCATCTTTGACTGCTTGTTCGCGCTCCAGCCATGGGTGCTCTCGCCGGACCGCCCAGTCGAAATTCGCACCAACCTTCTCGAGACGCTCGTCCTCATCGACAAGCTCGTCGACGCCGACCAGTTTCAAGGCGACGTTGATGCCTTCCTGGATGTCGCCCAAGTGTACCTCGCGCAGTGCCCCGAGCCGCTCCTTATGCGGCTTGTGGCGCATCGCGGTGCGGCGTGCCACCCCGTGACGCACCCGCAGTGGTCGAGTCACCTCGCCGACGTTTTGACGCATTTTTACCATGCCACGGCGGTGCCGTCGCCCGTGCGGCTCGCAGCGCTGCACGTGCTGTTCGAGACGCTGGACGCGAGTCGGTTCCTTTGCGAAGACCGGGTCCTCGAGGAGTTTCTTCTGCCGGCGCTCGAGTGTGTGTACGACGACCCGAGCCCGGACGTGCGCTCGTCGGGGCTCAACCACCTCGCGCGCGTCGCCGAGCACGTCGAGACGACCAAGTTTCACGCGCTCGTCGATATCTTGCACAATGCGGTCGTCGCGTCCAAGTCGACCGACGCCCAAGAGATTGGCGTCCACGCGATCGTCAAGCTCTTTGAAGTGTGCTTCTTGCACGTCCCGCTGGTCCGCGCCGTGCGCACGTACGAGCTATTGACAGGTACACATGATGTCTTATCTCAGCGGACAAGGGGATGCTGTAGGCTACTGTGCGACGCACCGGCATGTGGCCGTGCGCCGGACCGCGGTCGAGTGTCTCTTGCGTCTCTCGACAGCCAACGCGTCGTACCAGGTACATACTCGGGTCGCGGCATCAACGACTGTACATCCCAATACTCTAGATGCAATTGGAGCTGCCCCACGAAACCAAAGTTTCGCGGCTGCTAGTGTCGGCTCGGAGTGCTGTCTCGCATGGTCTGCACATGGCGTGTGTGCCGGTGGCCAAGGCTGTCGTCGCGCTTCTGAGCCTCGCGAGCACAGAAACCCACACGGACGTACTGGAGCTTGCCATCGCTGCGCTGCGCAAGATGCTCGAGAACCGGTTCGTGCTCCACGACGTGAACCTGAGCGACATGGCGCTCAAGCTCGTGTCGTGTGTCGAGTGCCGCGCGTTTGGCCGCGCTGCGATCGCGCACGGACTCGCTGCCGACGTGAGTCCGAGCGCATGGCGGCGCGCGGCGGCCACGTACCTCGATCGCGGCTTTGAGCTGCTCCTGCTCTTTGGCAGCACGGACGCCCAGCTCAATGCGGCGGCGCAGCGCCGACTCTTCTTAACATTTGTCCACGGCCTCGACCTGCGCCCGTCCGTGGCCGCCTGGCCGGCAAATGGCGTCCCCACCGCCCCGGATATGGCGCTCCAGGCCGCGGAACGGGCGCTGGCCCACACTGTGACCTCTGGCCTCGGGACGCTCTCGCTCTTGATGCCGGACGAAGCGGAGAGCGTGCTTCCCGCCATCGTCGACGCGATCGTCCAACGAACGTGCACCACGGACGACGGCAGCTTTGTCCCCGACCTCGTGTGCATGGGCCTCGAGCTGCTTCTAAACTTGTTTCGAGCGCACCGGACGCGAGCACTGGCCGAGGTGCAGTCCGATGCGATTTTGCACTTTGCGCTGCGGGGACTGCACTTGCCGAGCGCGCCAAAGCGCATCGTGTACAGCGCCTACATGGTGCTCGCACACTGCTTTGCCTGCGCGCCCGTGGCGCTCCGGGGCGCGTTGGCCCACGCCGCGGTGCCGTTACTATCAAGTCCAGACGCGCCCGTGCTGGACCAAGTCGCCATGGACTACATCAAGTCGATCGCGTTTGCACCGGCAACGCCCGAGCCCGCGCCCCGCCTCTTGCCCGCGCCCCGCCAAGTGTGCGTGCTTACCATGTGCCGCCGTCGCTCATGCAGCGCGTAGATCGTGGAGCTTTCAAAACACGATCGTGACGGTCCGGACCGGGCTCGGCGTCACACAGGTCGTCGTCCGACGCGCGACCGGCACCCAGCGCTACCGTCTCGACACATCGCCCAAGGGTAGGGTCGTACGCCGTCACCAGCATGTTCATAGCCTCCTGTGGTAGAGGAGGCGCACCCGCTCCATGTCATGAGCCAGCTCTTTGACATCAACCCACTCGTGGCACACCAGCTCAGCGGCTTGGACGAGCTCGTCGACGGTGACGGGCTCACACGGGCGCTGAGCGTCCTCGATCTCTCACCACCCTACGAGACGCACAAGATCGGCGTCCTCTACGTGGCCCGCGGCAAGGCCAACGAGAAGGACGTGCTCTCGGTCGTCGGTGGTAGCCCTCGCTATGTGCGCTTCTTGCGCGGTCTCGGGCGCATCGTTCGCATGGACGCCATCGACGGCTACAACGGGGGCCTCGACACGTCGCCGAACAGCAGCGACGGCACGTACGGCCTTATCTACCGCGACTCGTGCCTGCAGGTAGGTGGTTGTCGCGGTTCTTCGGCGTCTTATGGTCACCAGGTTGTGTTTCACGTTCCTACCATGATGCACGGACCGCTCTCCGAGCCAACGGAGAACGACGGCACCTCGTCGCCGTCATTGTCGAGCGCCGAGGACGGCGACGGACGGCGACACAGCAAGAAGCGTCATCTCGGCAACGACTTTGTGCACATAATTTACTTGGACGACGTGCACAGTGACGTCGCGGACGAGCCGGTCGTGTCCGGACACTTTACGGACGTCCGTATCGTCGTCCAGCCGCTCGACGAGTGCCCGTCGTTCTACCGCGTCCGCGTCCTCTGCAAGCAAGACGGCCTCGTGTTTGGTCCGCTGAGCGGGACACAAATCGTGCCGGCGCTCTGCGTGGCCGAGGCCGTCCGGCTCACGGCGCTGAACGCGAGTTTGGCCTGCCGCGCGTTCCACCACGACCGCATCGAGTTTGTGCTCAACGCAGAAGACCGCCTCAAGCAGATCAAGCTCATTGGGCAGCGCTGGAAAGTGCAAGCGTCCTAAGAATGGCGGCGTCCAGGGTCAAGGTAGAGAGTGTCGATTGTCGTCGTTTAATACTGTTGCGGCGGCGGCGGCGGTGGCATGCTGTACATGGGCGCCGGTTGCTGGTACATCATGGTCGCCGGCACGGGCGGGGGCTGCTGGTACATCATGCCGGCGGGCGGCGGCGGCGGCTGCTGGTACATGGTGTGGCCCATCTGGGGGTGCATCTGGGCGTGCATCATGGTCGGCGCGGCCGGCACGGCCGGCGTCGCAAACGCAAACCGCGTGTGGGGCTTGATCTTGCTTGGGTTGTTGGACGCGAGGAGGCGCTCGGCCTGCGACCCGTGGCGCTCGCTCTGGCTGCCCTTCTTGTATGCGTACTGGACGACGATCTGCCGGTTGCAGAGGTACTGGCCGTTCATGCACTCGATCGCAAGGTCCGCAGCCTCAAACGAGTCGTAGGCAACAAAGCCAAAGCCCTTTGACTGCTTCGTATCGACGTCGCGCATGACCTTGGGCGTCTCGATGATGCCGCCAAAGACCGAGAAGGTGTCGTAGAGGAGCTTCTCGTCGACGTCCGGGTCGAGGTTGCCGAGGAAGAGGTTGGCGCCAATGTCGAGCGTCTTCGTGTCCTGCGATGCCTTCTTGACCTTGATGATCTTGTTGAAGAGCTGGATCATGTTCATGACCTTGGTCGCATACTCGGCGTCCTCCTCGGTGCGGAACTCGACAAAGCCAAAGCCGCTGTGCTTGGACGTGACCTTGTCGCGCGGGATGTGCACGTTGACGACGACGCCGACCTGCAGCATGAGCTCCCAGAGCAGCTCCTCGGTCACCTTCTCGTCGAGGTTGCCCACATAGACGGTCGCCTCCTGGTTGCGCTGTTCGATGGCCGCCGACGCAGACATGGCTTTTTGCACCACCCCCCACACGCACCACCGTGCTTTTCCAAACGTTTCGCTAGGGCCCCCTACCTCAAGATCCAACCTCTTTGATTGGCCATTAATTACGAAATCCGAGGCGTGGATTGGCCGACCCCATCGACTTTCGAGAAAGGACCGATCGTCGACCGATGCAGCTCCGAAAGTCCATACTATCGCGACGAGTCCCGATCGAGCCGATGCAGTCGGGTAGCGAGGCGTGATAGTGCAGCCCGGAGCTTGGCTCTGTACTAAAAGGTGGATTTTTAACCCACAAGTGGTGCCAAAGACGACCAGAGTCCGTACTAGCAGCGGGAGGGTGAGAGTGTATCGACGCCTTGTCGAATTCGTTATCGGATGGGACTACGTAGAGATACTACTGCATGGGAAGTGCGGGGATGCTCGCTCGAAGGATCCAAAAACGCGCTGTCCGCGCGATCGTGGATGGCAGCCATCTTGAAGGGGACTTGAACCCGCGCTGGCTTGCCCCCGATCCTCCTCCGCGCTTGGAAGGCCGTGCAGTGGAGCGGTGATCGCGCGTTGCGCTTCATAAACGTGGGCCGCGCAAATCCACGGCGCCTGCAACCACCCAAGAGGCGACGGCGCCAAGTATCGTATATGGATGACGCTGCTGGAGCCTGCGACGTGCTCGCACCCAATCGTCGAACGCTCGTGCGTCCTCGGTGCCGCAGACATCTCCTGCACTGCCTCTGCAACGCTGTGTACTACAGTACGCTCATAAGAGGATCGGCAAAAGCTCGAGCTACCTCCTCGTACCTCCTCGTACCTACACCCCGACGCCGTCGTACCGAATGCGTTGACCTGATAGAGACGTCGTGTAAACCGTGTTGAAGAAGCCAACCCCGTTGGACTTTAGCTTTACATGGTCGTATATTGGATATAAATATAAGGATGGGCGATGACAACTACTTGGTGGGTTTGGGGCGGCGGCCACCGTGCGCCCAGCAGAGCCCCTTGAGTTTGGCATCTTTTTGGCAGCCGTCTTGCTGGCACTGCCGCTTCCCGCCATGCAGGTGGCAGAGCCCGCGCATCTTGGCGCCGTTGACGCAGCCCTCAAACTTACAGCGGCAGCCACCGCCGTGCGTGATGCACTTGCCGCGGCTCACCGCCTTGTTGCGGCAGCCTTGGATGATGCACGCGCCGCCACGGGGTGCGGTTTGGACGGGCGTCGGGCGCTTCATGGGCCCTTGGATCATGCTCTCGAGCGGGTTGGTGCGCGCCATGACACTGCGGTACCACTGAATGTTCTTATCGGACGGTCGAACGTGCTCCGGGTGCAAGGTGCAGAGCGGCGGCAGCGTCGGTGCGCGAAAGACGGGTGAAAACACTTCCTGCTGGTGCTGGTGCTGGTGGTGCTGGTGGTGCTGATCGTAGGACGGGTAGAGGCCTTCGGGGCTCGTCGGCGACGAATTACCCGAGCCTTCCAACGTGTACTTGTTGTGCACGGCATTACTCTCGACGGCGGTCGTTGTCGTCGTCGGCGGCGTCAAGATGAAGTGGAGGTCCATGGTGTTGTGTACTGGGTGTCGAGGCGGTGGCCAAAGAGGAAATGGCGTGGGTCCATCAATGATGCAGCAGGCTGCGCCATCACGAGAGTGGCTACTGCAGAGTTGGACGACCGACCGCCCTCCTCGGCGCCGTTGGCATCGGGTAAACACATGGTGCAAGCACCACATCAGGCGAGATGCAACCTGGTCGCGCGACGCCCTGGTCGGTGGACGATACTGTACCATGCGATACCCTCTAGTACTTGATACTCGAGTATCATGCTAATAGGAAATGCACGTTTATACACTATGGGAGACCTCTCCAAAACCAATATATTCGCCAAACGAATATGCACCTGCACAGAAAGGCCAGGAGCAGAGTCGGCCCCGCCAAGATCGTGGATTGGGCAGGCACGGCACCGAGTCGGCAGGCGACCGAGTATGCAATGCCACGACGTCCCACGCCAGCGCCTATTGGGGCTTGCACATCTGCTACTCGCGTTCCGTGTGCCGACATGTGCTCGGCCGCTTCTCCGGCGCCGCTGCTATGCACTTGCCACACTTGTATGCGTGGCAATCTGGTTATTCCTGCGGCGCGAGAGGATGGGTTCGCGACGGCGCGCCTTGGATGGCACTGGCAAAGCATCCTTTGCGCAGGATGGTCCGCAGCTGCAGCGCCCGAGTAGCTACGCAACTGCAAACAGAAGTGTGCTCATACACACTGATTTTATCCAGGACGGGGCAGATTGCCGTGTCAATTGCCCCAGCTGGCAGTGTCGTAAGCGCGACGAATCTTGAACGTGAGCACGAAGGGCCATCGCGTCTGGTTCTCGCCCATACTTTGCGCCAGTGGTTGCTCTCCGAGGGTGGGACGTCTCCTCGGTCCACGCGCACCTTGGGTGGGCAAGCAGCAGAAACAAGTCGACGCCCGACGTTGACGTGGGCCTCCGCACCAAAGCCCCATCCAGCGCATTTGCATAGACAAGATGCACTGCGAACCTTCTATTCCGCGTCGCCCACAATGGCCGCGTCTTTGGGGTCTTATCCAAATCCGAGAGGCACATGCAGCAGAGTCTGCTCTACACGTACAGTACTAAACGTAAGCTCGACGATCGCCAGTACAAAGCTACTCGTTGCGTCAGACTCGGCGCCTGACCACACGCGTTCGGTGGCTGGCACCAACTGGCATCCTCCCAAAGATCGTGCGTCGGCCAATCAGGTGCCGGTATTTTCTTCCATACTTGTTTCTCGTGCAACGGCGCGCCGGTTCGCGATCGCCCAAGCGTCGCGGTTTAGGGCTCACCACGCGCGCGAAACGACCCTTCGATTTCGGGCCCCAGTCTGCATTCTCCGAGATTCGATGGCGGCCACGATGCTGCCGTCGCACGGCACCATCATCCTCAAGGAGGGCTACCTCATCAAGCGCAGCAGGAGCAACAAGCTCGTGCCCAATTGGCGCCGGCGCTACTTCCGGCTCCAGCCCGGCGAGCTTTTGTACTTTGAGTCGCCGCAAGAGGTCGCGCCGCGCCGCCGCATTCCCCTTGGCCTCGACTCGACCGTCTCGCTCACGAACGACCAAGGCTACAACCTCTGCTTCATGCTCCAGTCGACGCCGACGTCCGACAAGTTTTACGTCCAGGCCGCGACCGAGGTACGCCATGTGCTACATTGAACTTCGTTTGATGCAAGTGGTGCAGACGGAGAAGAAGGCGTGGGTCGACGCCATCTTTGAAGCCCTTCGCCGCGCCAAAGACGTGCTCAACCAGCCCGACCCGAGTACGTGCGCCCGGCCTCGCTGCCCATAGCCCTCACACTGTCACGTAGGCGCGATGCTGCGACCCAACTTGGTTCACCGGCGCTCGTCGCGGACACCGACGCTGCAAGAGTCGGTGCACCTCAACGTGCGCGTGGCCGCGGCCAAAGGTCTCATTGCGGCCGACGCGCGGGGCACGAGCGACTCGTACTGCGTCGTGACGCTTGTCGACAAAGGCGGGCACCTCATCAACGAGACAAAGCGGCAGACCAAAGTCAACGGGAACGACCTCGCGCCCGTGTGGAACTTTGACACGGTCTTTGGCGACGTACGTCACTCTTGTCGATGACAGGTTGTGCATTGTACTATAACCTATGATTTGCGTAGAAAATCGACTTGACGCTCGTGGACGAAGTCCGCTTCGACCTCTTTGACCAAGACTTGTACACCAAGGACGAGTGCATCGGGACCGTGTCGGTGCCCATGGGCCTGTTCAAAATGTCGGTCGCGAGCGCCACGTCTTCGGAAACCGTACGACATGCGATGTACAATATGTCATTGACATTGGCGATAGGTTGACCACTGGTTTCAAATCGCACCGCCGCCCCAAGGCGCACGCCCCACCACGCATTTGCTCAACTTGGGCCAAAACACAAAGGTCCTCGACGAGCGCGACCACGGCGAGCTGCACGTGATCATGAGTCTCTCGGGGGAGAAGCTCCCGGCGTTTTTCCAGTCGCTCGAGCGCAGCCACCACTCGCCCAAGAAGGAAATGATCGCCAACAACTTTGACGAGACCGACAACCGGCTCGAGGTCAGCGTCGTCTCGGCGCGGGGCCTCGTGTACGTGGACCCGAAAGAGAACGCGCCGTCGACCGCCATCAATCCGCTCGCCGAAGTGCACGTGCTCGACGTTCACAAGCGGCTGCTCCACCGCGAGACGTACCGCAGCGGCATTCAGTTCCGAACCATCGCACCCACGTTCTCCGAGTCGTCGTTTGTGTGTGGCCGCGTACGTGGCAAGATTGTCATTCGTATCTCTGACACCCACCTAGCATGCCCCCATCGACCAGGCCGGGTACGTCAAGGTCACGATCCTCCACGCCGAGCGCGGCGACCGCTTCATCCCGCTCGGGTCGGTCACCATCGATCTCAACGAAGTGTCGGCCTACAAGGTACGCGTCATCGACCTGCTAAAACATCTTTGGACTAATGCGGCGAATGGGCAGTTGGCCAAGTGGTATCCGCTCGAGTCGGCGCCCGGTCCCGACGACGTACGGCGTTGGAGACGCAAGTACCTCGTCCTCAGCCTCTTGGAATAGGTGACCAAGCACGTGGGCGATGTGCGCCTCCAGCTGTGTTTGATTGGCGAAAGCCGCGGCGAGAAGCTCCAAAGAGAAGCCACGCGACGGTAGACGGCGCCACGGACACGAGCAGCAACTCATGCTGTGTTTCTAGTGCGGTTACGGCGGCGGGGCACACCAAAACGATCGAGCAGACCGAGTACGACCATACTGCATATGCTAGCGAATTAACACGCTGGCGGTAGGCTCGACAATGCGCAGTTCCAAATGCTCCTGGCCGAGCGGCATTTGGACGGCGCCAAGATCGCGTGTGCGGAAAAGGGGTATCAAGTCCGCCACCCGAGCTTTTACGGCGTCAACGGCTACCTCCACGGCGCGCATGCGCAGCTCGTGCATGCCAACCGGCGCCACCAAACGCCCGACCATGTCTTCCAGAACCGCGGGTCCATCGAAGGCTACGCGCTCTTGGACGTGGCAATTGTCGGTGTTCAAAACCTGACGGTGGGCGACCGCGCGTCCGGTACGAAACGTGTACTATGAGACATGTCGTCACATGTTGTCTAGTCTTGCCGGTGGGCACGTACGCCAAGCTCGAAGTTGAGCCCACGGTGGCTATCATTGCGGGCAAGAAGGTCTCCAAGCCGTACCTCGTTCGCAAGGCCAAGAGCCCCAAGAAGTCATCGACGCACCGCGTGTTGCAGCACCCGGAAGACCGCGATGGTAGCAAATCATTCGCTCGACACCACATCACACTCGAATAGATTTGAACGGCGGCATGGTCCGGCAGGCGATCTGGGGCAAGAAGCCGCTGACGGCCGAGGTGTCGCCGGCGCGGCAGCGCCTCGGGAAGAACGAGCAGCGCCATGAAAAGGCCGACGTCATGGTCGACGATCGACCGTACTTGCGCGTGCGCATCGTGTCGGGGCACAGCCTTCTCGCGGGCGACATGAACGGCTATAGCGACCCGTATTGCACCATCTTTCTCACCGACACGCACGACGTGCCGTACAAGAAGGAGAAGAAGAAGACCGCCGTCGTGAGCAAGACGCTCAACCCGGTCTGGCAGCACGAAGAATTTACGCTCGGTTACGTACGTAGTTGCACGTTGTATCAACGACGTATCAAGTGGTTTGTCTAGGACATTGACCTCAACGACGCCAAAACGCTGCTGGTGCACGTCAAGGACCACAACAACATCGGGCACGCGACGCCGCTCGGACGCGTCGAGATTCCACTCCAAGACCTCTGCCAGGGCTCCGCGACGACGACCTCGATCGCGACCGTGGCCATGACCAAGCGCTACCGACTTGTGCCCGAACCGTGGATGAAGCAGGTCGGTTCCACGTTACTGACAACGGAGTCCGAAAAACGCATAGGAGCGCGTCGACCTCGGGGAGCTTTGCCTCGAGACGGAAATGATCGGCAACGCCACCGTGCTCGCCCAGCTCCTCGTGCGCCAGAAGCAGCTCGCTGCGGGGATGCTCTCATTCCACTCGTCTCATTCGCTCATGGGACCGGGAGACGCACCGCCGACGGACGCTGCCGTCATGGAGGACGAAGAAACCATCTTTACGCCCGGCCAGCACATCCGGTACGCATGTCGTACGTTTGCCTTGGAAAATGAAGCAATGTATGCAGGACGTACTCGACGCCCGGCAGCGACCCGCAGTGGCTCGGCGACCGCTTCCAGCTCCAGCTTGCGTACCCGGCCCTATTGACGGACTCGGTACCCAGTGTCAAGTACCGGGACGAAGGTTTCGAGTACGACGTCCGCGTGACGGTGCTCTGTGGCCGCAACATGCTCAACTGCGACCGCAACAGCGAGGCCGACCCGTTCTTCACCATCTACCCGGTCTGGCCCACGGGCGAGGTCGTCCATGCGGCCAAGCAGCAGTCGCTCACGGTCTACGAGAGCCGCAACCCGGTCTGGCCGACGACGTCGTTTACATTTGGCCACAGCTTTGACGTGACCAAGATTTCGCACTTGGCGATTCACTTTTACGACCGCGATTGGGGCGACCTCGACACGTCGTGCCTCGCCGCACTCGGCGATCCGAGTGAAGTCAACAACAGCGCGTGGCTGCCACGGCATCTGCTGCACAAGGTGTCGCATGCCGGCGACGTCGACAAGTCGGGAGCGCGTGACATGCTCGAGTACGACCAAAAAGTGCTGGCGTTCCGTCGGTGCGGCGCGGGCGGCAACTACTTCCCCGGGCGCGTCCGCCACTACACGCCGTTCCCGGCCGATACGTACCTCGTGCTCTTTGACGACGAGCTCGACTCGATCGCGCTTCTCAAGAAACTGCTCAGCTACGATGCCATGGGCGAGATCATGCACGTGCGCAACGACGGCACGGTCGACGTCCAGCTGCTTGGTGAGAAGAAGACATACGTGCCGCGCGTTCCGCTCCGCCTCTTGACGCCAATCAAGTCGTTCCCGCCGTCGGTCGACACGACGTTGGCGGCCAAGCGCCCGTCGGCGGCCGCGCCGACGCGGGCGAAAAAATGGGCGTCCGTGCGCCTGCATGTGCTCTCGCTCGCCGAGATGCGTCTACCAGAGAACGTCAACGCCGCGGTCGTCGTAACCCTCTTGGCGGCGCCCGATGCCAAGCATGTCATTGTGACACCGCTCGGTGAAATCGTCGGTCTCGCTCCCGAGAACGAGACAGCAGCGGGGCTACTGCCACCACCACCGTCGCGCGCGTCCTTGCCGCCGCCCGAAGCACCGAAAACGTACGTCGTGCCGTCGGCGCACGGCGCCGCGCTCGCGCACGTCGACCCACTGACGCTCGAGGGACCACTGCTCGATGCGACCGACGCCTTTGTCTTCCGCATCGTCGACCAAGGCAGCGCCAAAGAGGCGACAAAAGGCTCGACGCGGGTGCTCGGCATGGCCAAGCTCGACGTGCAGAGCCTTCTGGAAGACCAGCCAAACCAACACCTCAAGATCTTCCCCGAGAAGACGCTGTCGTTTGACACATTTTACGGCGTTTTGCAAGCCCGAACGAGCTGCACGCGCCGGCCAGTCGACGACGACGTCATCGAAGAGAGCCTGCTGACGTCCACACTGGACGAAGGCAAGAAAGGCCTCGACGAGTGGTACGCTGATGTGCTTCGAAAGGAGGCCGAGACGTCGCTCGGCCTCTCGCTGCGGTCGCTCCTCGAGCCGGGCAACCACGTCGAGCTCTCGTACCTCGCACGGCGCCAAGCGCTCCGCGGTGCGCTCTCGGCGCGGCAGAACCGACAAGTCGACAACCTCGGGTTCGCGCTCAACGCTGTGTACCGGCACATTCTCAGCGTCCTCCGCGCCATCGAGCTCTTTGACGAATACGAGGGCTTGTCGCACGACGATCAGCGCAAGTTCTCGGCCATGCACTGCGTGAGCGCGCTCGGCGACGACGACGAGTGGCTCTACCGGCGGCTCAACGACATGCCGCTGCACGTGCGCAAGAAGACCGTCGTCGACCTCGAGATGCATCTTCTGCAGCTGGCCGGCGCGACAGCACTGCCCGAGGTGCCGCTGCCCGACGCCAGTCGTGACGAGTGGCTGCGCGTGCGCACGTTGCGCTGGGAAGCCATCAACGAAGTCGGTGATTTCTTGCCCCTCGAGCGCGGTACGGTGCCGCTTTTGCGTCAAAGTATCGGTGTATCAACTCGCATGAGTAGGGTTTGTGCTCAAGTACGCCGCGTGTTTTACGGGCGCGGGGCTCATCTCGTGGATTCTTCGGCTCCCGTCGGTGCTCTGGAAGGACGGGTGGACCGCGTTTGCTGTGAACGAGGTCATGGACGACGACGCGCTCCTGATGTGGGAGGACCCGTCTCTGTTGACCAACACGGAGGCCATGCAAGCGCCCGAGAGCCGCGAGCATGCGCTCGTGTGGCTCAAGGCGCTCTTTGACGCCGGCTACATTGAGAGCGTCTCGGACAAGCGCGACTTTGCCGACGGGGACGATCGGTACTACCGGCTGCACGGCCTTGAGCACGAACGCTTGCACCAAAAGCGCAAGGACAGCACGTTCCCTTTGGACTTGGTCCAGGAAGTCGACTGCCAAACCAAGAGCAAGGGCGAGCTCTTCTGCAAGCGGCTCACCGACCACGCGAGCGGGTATAGCACTACCATATATCGTGTATCTCATTTGCTATGACGTAGCTTTCTTGGGACACAGAGCACCGTCTCGAGTCTGATCGGATCGGCCGCGACGACGGTCGAAGCCATGACGAACTTGAAAGTGCCGCACTTGACGCTGCCCAACGTTGCGAATGCGCTGAGTCTCTCGCCGCAGTTGTTGTGGGACTGGAAATACGCGCTCTTCGTGCCGGGGGCCAAGCACGAGCACAAGTACATTTACTTGTACGACTCGGTGCACGCGACGAACGCGTCGATCGTGATCGATCTCTCGGGTGCGCGCACGTTGGTCACGTACAGCAACGCCAAAGTCCATGGGGACGACTGCTTTGAAGTACGCTTCCCGACCTTCTTTGCGCCCGACCCGATCACCAACAAGCTGCGCAAGCTCTCGGACGCCGACGTTGAGGCAGCGTTCGCGTCGGACGTCAGCCACAGCATCGTGCTCAAGGCCACCGACTCGCAGGTGTGGGTGCAGGCCATGCTGCTCGCCGGTGTCAAGGTCGTGCTCGAGAAGCGCCAGAAAGTCCTCTTTCAGCGCCTCAACAACACGGTTCTCGAAGCCAAGTGCGTCAAGGCCAACGTGCCGTTCAACGCGTCCGACCCCGAAGGTTGCTTCCAGCATCTCATGAATGCAGTGTTTGGCCACGACAAGGCGAGCCAGCACTCGTCCGACAAGCAACTCAAGGAGCTTCGGTCGCGGATTCGCAGCGAACTCAAAAAGACAGCCGCGCTCAAGGAGCCCGTGACCGCCAAGTACGGGCAGAGCGGCATCTTTGACCCGCCACCCACCGACGCACGCAAGTTCACGCGCAGTATGTCCTTGTCTAGTGTCTCGTCGAACATGTATGTATCGCATATCGGTAGGTACCGAGTACCCGGCGCGGATTTACAAAATCGCGACACCGTTTACGGACGCCAACTACCCGTGCAAGGTGCTCTACAAGCTCGAGGCGGCGCCGACACGCATGCAGTTGCTGCTGAAGAAGTATGGGATCTCGTCGCGCGTCCTGTGGCTCGAGCAACCCAAGGCGATTCGCGACCTCTTCCTCCTCTACGACGTCGAGTACCACCACAAGAACGAGACGATCATCGAGAAGCACCTGTTGCGCGAGGACTTTCACACGATGGACGGCGACCTCGACCCGCTCAAGGTGCACAGCAAGTGCGTCGACTTGAACGTGGTCTTCAAGCCCCACGATCTCGAAGGCTGCGTCTCGCTCTTCACGACGTACGAGAACGGCGAGACGCCAATGGGCCGGTTCCGCATCCCAATTCAAGCTCTCTCGGACACACGCGAGCTCGACTGGTGGTTCAAGCTCATGCCGGAGCGCGGTATGCTCCAGCGGCGAGAGCTCGGGTCGATCCGCGTGCGCATCGAGATGCGCAAGCACCCGTCCAAGACGTGCATGGGCAGCCTCGCGCTACCGCCGCCGGTCGCGCAGCGCATCGAGAAGGCAATCACCACCAAGGTCCACGGTCAGCCAGAGTCGTGGCTGCGGCGCAAGCGGTCGGGCGCTGCGGCCGTGGCCAAGCCCAAGGCGCCAGTCCGATCGGTCTTGCACGTTGACATTCTCGAAGGCCGCAAGCTCATTGTGAGCGACATTGTCACGTCCGACCCGTTCGTGCAGCTGTACCTTGTCGGTACCAAGAGCGGCAAGGACGAAGAAGTCGCTTGCGGCAAAACTGACATTGTGCCCAACACGCTCAACCCCAAGTGGACCAACCAAGGGTTCACGCTCGGGCGCGGCGACGACGTCCGCCTCGACGACAAGAAGGCGCTTATTTTGCGCGTCTTTGACCACGACTCGCTCTCGAGCAACGACCCGATGGGGTGTCTCCGCCTCGAGTTTGATAAGGACCATCTCGGGTACATTCGCCGCCTCAAGCTGCACCACGCGGGTCCGAGCGGCAAGGAGACGCCGACGTGGCTGGCCCTCGACGACAATGGCGAAGTCGAAGTCTTTGAGCGTCTCATGCGCGACACGAAGGCTGGACAGCTCGCGTGGGCGAAAGCTCGTGGCAATTCCGAAGAAGACGGCATCCTGGGTCGTCTCCGCTTTCGCGTTCAAGTCACCCACTGCGACTTTACCGATGTGCCCGAGGCGACGGCGCCGGCGGTCAAGGCCGGAAGCCCCCTCAAGCCGGGTGCGTCGACGGTTCGCGCCAACCCCGCGCACTCGGACCTCACACGCTTCGGGCTTGAGCTCACGCTCCAGAGCGTCTATGGCAAGGACAAAAAGGCGACTATCGATGACGCCAGCCTCGCCGGCTTTACCCTTGCATTTGCCCCTCGAACGCGCGAAGGCCACCTTGTGAGCTACGACGTCCTCGCCGAGCAAGCGACCCACGACGGCAAAACGCCGCTTCTCGAGCGGCTCTACGAAGTCATTTTACTCGGGACCTCGTACGACGTGACGCGCGTTGCGTCCTACGACGTCGTGTTGCACCACACTGAGCGCGGTACGTCACTTCTCGGGTCGCTCGTCGTCTCCACCACGCTCGCCAACGCGACACTCGAGATTGAGTGCGTTAACCGCGACTCCAAAGACGTCCTTCAAAAGGTCGTCGTGACCTTTACCGCGTCCTACTTGGGGCTGCACCGGGCCGAGTACGTCGAGCGGGTCCTCGCCGAGACGTATGCGTACGCCGGCCTCGACTTTGACCCGCGCGCGATTGCGTCGCTTGGTCAAACCGCCGAGACGTTCCTCTGGGAGGCGTGCCATGTGCCCGTGGTGGTGCCCGGCGAGAGCATCTCCAAGCTCCTCTTCCAGCAGCTCACAAAGCTCTCTGAGAGCACGCGCTTGCATTGGCAGCTCACGCCCAAGCTGCTCTTCTTCCTTCTTCATCACAGCTTGTCGCGTGGGAAAGATCGTCTCGCGTACGAGTATACACTGCCGCTCGACGCTGTCCTCGCGCGCTGGTCGGCGGTGCTGAGCGCCGTTGCCGAGGCCAAAGGGCAGCTCACGGGTCGTCTTCATGGTGAGCTCACGCCACGCTTGATTGCTACGCTCTCGACACTCTGCGACTGGACCGGTACGCGTGCAATGTGTTTGTATGGCAAGGGTCGAGTATGCTGACTGTAGGCGGCGACACGGTCATGACGGCGGCATCGTCGCACGACACGCCGCAAACCTTGACGACGCTGCACGTGGGCGATACGGTCCACGCGCACGTGGCGCCAGCGCTGGCGCTTCTGCCGGGCGCGGCGGTCGACGTCCGTTCCAGGGACAGCACCGCGTACATCGCCGGTGTCGTCGCGTGTACGTACGCCGACGCCTTTGTCGATGTCATGTGTCCGCCAATCTCGGACGACTTGTCCCCGCTCACCGAGACGAGCGTCGTGTACGTGCGCACGCCAAATGAGGAGTGTACGTGGAGCAACCTCCGGTCGGCTACCGTGACCGACATCAAGGCCAACGATGGAACGCCATCGTACCGTGTCTGCTTCGACGACGACAACACAGTGGCTTGGCTGCCGAGCACCGAGCTCTACACGTATCGTAGCCGCGTGAGCGTCGAACATGTGAGTCCGCTACTGCTGCCCAACACATACGTCCGCGTCGTGCACGACCAGAGTAACCGGGCGGCGCGGGTCGTGCGCTCGGTAGGTGGCGCGCAGTACGAAGTGGCGTTCGTCGAAGGCGGTGGTGCGTCCAAGACAGTGGCGCGCGGCTACTTGGCGCCACTGCCGACGCACCTTGTCCGCGGCATTGTATCGTGCGTGCGCACGGTGGAGGACGGACCCCCGGTGTACGACGTTGTGCTCGACAACGCCACCGTCGCCACCAATGTCCCGCGCGATCTCTTGCGCTGCGAAGACGTCGCGCTCACGACCGATGCGCTGCACCTCTGCGCGGCGTACGTGCCAACCATCAAGATAGGTCCCACGTCAGTGGTAGCCGACTCCATCTGCAACCTCTGGGGCGGATCGTCGGTCGTCCAGACGTACCTGGAGCTGCCTTCGCCCATCCAGAGTGTCGCCGTCCGCGACGTTGTCACGGGGGCCGTCACGCTACTTGCCCCGCGCAACGAGTCGGCACCGACCTCCTTCGGACAGTACCACGGCTACGTCCTCGGCACGCAGTGGGCCGACGCAGACAAGGCCAAGGCGGCGGCTGTGCGCCAGTTGTCGGTCAAAGAACTGTCGCTGCCACACCTGCTCTCGTTGCTTCTGGCACCGGTGCCGCACGTGTGCCTCACGGGCACGTTGGCCATCGCCGGTGCGAATACGGTTGCCTTCCATGCCGCAATGAGTCAGTGGACGGCACCGTCGCAGCTTCTCGCCATCGAGATGCGCCGCGTGCTGACGCTCATGGTGCACGCTGCCTTGCCGATCGACGAGGCACCTACCGCGCTGACCATCGTGTCGATCACAAGTGTCTTGGGCGGCAAGCCCGTGACGGACGTCGTCTTGCGCGAGAAGGGCACGGTCTCGGCTACGTACAAGAGCACGAGCAAAGCGCTCACGAAGGTGCCGATCGAGAACCTCCAACTGCTGATCGACTTTGAGGCGCGACTGACGCTTCCAACGAGCGCAGAGGCGTTGGCGACGGTGGCGAGCGGTGCGCTCGATCGTGCCAAGGCGGTCGCCGACGCTCTGCACGCGCAAACTTCGCTCGCCTACGCCGATAGCAGTGCTGGTACGTGGTCGTTCGACGCCGACGAGATTGCATGTGCCGATGCAAACGACACGCTCTCGATTCAAGTCGCCAAGCGCGGCAAGAAGGACGAGTTGGTCCGTGACTGGTCGGCGCCACCGACGAGTGAGCTCGCGACGTTGCCACTGGCCGACGTGCACCTACTCGTGACGACGACCGACAACAAGGAGCACGATGTTGCGCTGGCGGCCTATCACCTGGAGCAAGAATGCGACTTGCGCCACGTACTTTGCATAGGACACTCGATGCATATGCTCATGCGAACATGGGATTAGGAGCTCTTGCCGCGCTTTCAAGCATCGCTGGTGGCGGCGCCGAGACCGAACGGCACGGCGGTTGTCCGCTTCCACGATGCCAAAGACGCCACGAGCGTTGTCGACGCAAGTGACATTGCTCTGGACGCAGTGCACGTCGATGTACTCAAGGCCCACGACCTGCACACAACCAAGTCGACGCGGAAGGGCTCGGTTGGCGACTTCATGGACGAAGAGATCTCGGTGCGGGTCTTCCTTATGACGAGCGACGTACCGTCGAACGCCGGTGGCAAGAACCGCATCGGCCTCACCGTCAACGCCGACGGCGCGATTCTCAAGGACCTCAAAGGCCAAGAGTACCCCAAGAGCACCGAGAACGTTCGGTCGGCGCACAAGGAGCACCACAAACCGTCGGTGGACTGGGAAGCCGTCAAGAAGACCAAGCGCTTCACGTTTGGCCAGGTACATCAACACGATCGAACCCTGTAGTGATTTGCGATGCTAGCCTCGCATGCCGCTCGAGTACGCGACTAAGCTCGTGCTCGAAGTCATGACCTCCGGGTCGGGGGCCGTGCTCTCGGGGCCAACCCACACGACAGGCGCTGCGTCGAATTTTGCATCGTCGAGCAACTGCCTCGGGTTTGCGACACTCGACCTCGCCACCTTGCCAAAGCATGCTGTAAGCCAAGCTCCTCCAAAGATCCTAAGCTCACGAAGACTCGTATCTCTGTAGAAAGAGGTGTCGATCCCATTGCACCGAAAGGGCCACCCCGAAGACCGCGAGCCGCGTGGGAGCCTGACGCTTCGCGTGCAGCGGGAAACGCTTCTCACGGTCGGCACCACAGTCCACGTTCGTCGGTGTGCGCCGTTGGACAAGTGGGTGCTCTGCCCCCACGAACTCGTCTTGCGCAGTCTGCGCTACAAGACCAAGGTACCACGACTATGGCATGTGGTGCATCCATCTCTAACGCGACAGCGATAGCATGCGGAGCGCGGCTTGGTCGAGAAGCTGCATGGCGAGGTGCTTGCAGCTGCCAAGAGTGTCGAGCACGAACACGAGGTGCAAAAGCTCTTGCAGCTCGTGCGCCTCGACGACGACCAAGTCAGCTTTACCTCGCGGACGGTTTCGGTCGTGCTCAAGCCGCGCCAGGACGCGTCATCGTACGTGGCGGTCGTGCCGCCCATGACGCTCTCTCAGGTGAGCGCGGCCGACGTGATCGCCGCGGGCCGAGCGACTGCCGATGCGGTCGTCGAGATGCTCTCGCCGCGCCACAAGCACCGGCGGCTCAAGTGGTCGGCCGACTTTGTTGAGAAGAAGCCAAGTGACACGGAGCACGTGGTTGCCGATCACCGGTCGCCGTTCGAAGTCGCAACCGACCGCCTCCGAAGCACGCTTCTCAAGCTTCACTACGTCTCAACAACCAAGCTCATTCCGATGCTCGACAAGATGGCGCTCCTCAGTGTGTCGCCGAGTGCCGATTTCGTCGAAGCCGAGCGTATCTTGACGTTCTTTGAAGACGAAGTCGACGAGTTGGACCATGTTTGTCCATTCTAGACTTGAGATTAGGGATCTCATGCAAATGCGTAGGACGATGCCAAAGCGTTCGAGCGGCTTGACAAGAAGACGCGTGTCGCCAAGCTCACGCAGCTGCTTGGTCGGCTTCTCAAGGCGTACGTCCGCGTCTCGATCCTCGTCGACCACGAAACTCGGGGTAATGTCAACCACCGCATGACGGACGAGGTCGTGGGCATGGCCATCATCCCGCTGCTCGACCTCCTCGACCAGGTACGAATCTACATGCATCGCAACAGCGTCCAACGCGAGTCTATCTTTTAGCGCCAACACAACCGGCAGTACCAGCTCCATCTCGACCGCAAAGGCAACGACGGTCTCTACGCCCGCGACCTCAAGAAGGCCCTCGTGCACGTCAAGACCAAGCTCTCGTTCTCCGAGCTCTCGATGCTCGAGACTGCGATCCGCATTTTCAAAGACTTCAAGGCAAACTACATCGACACGTTCGAAGTCGCGCGGCGCCGCGTGACGGCCGCGGTCGTCCCGGCGCAACGCCGGCGCTGGCAAACCCTCATGGGGTACCTCGAAACCCTGCGCGAACAAAGCGTCGGCAAGATGCACTGGGAGACAACGCCGACGCTGCTCGAGCACGTCTGGGACATTTTTCTGTCGCACAAGCGGCAGTTCCCGAGCCAGTTGCTGGCGTTTGCGCCGCAGATCGTCGCGTACCGAGACGCGGTCGTCAAGGTCCACGCGCGCTGGGTGAACCTCCAGCCGATGCTGCAAGAGCTGCTCGCGATTCAATCGCGTGTGGCCATTGATGCGACCCGGACGCCCGACCTCTTGGAGTTGATCCAGAACCAAGTCGAAGGCCTCGACGTCCTCCGCCGCAATGCGTGGGACCAAGTCGAAGACAAGTGGCTGAGTCTGCGGGACGTCCTCGAAGAGCTTGTGGGCATGCAAGAGCGCAACAAGCTGCACATGGCCCGCGCACCGCTGCTCCTAAAATTTGTGAGCGACCACTGCTCCAAGGGGCTCAACCCGCGCCACGCCGACGCGGTGGCCGCAGTTCAGTTTCGCTGGATCGCACTCACCAAGCACGACGGCCCGATCAACGAGCTGCGGCTCATGGAGACGCATGGGCTGCACTGGCGCCGAACGTACGACCTCCTCCGGCTCCTCGACGAGCAGTGCGAAGGGTTTAGCGACGTGGATGCTAAAGCGCTCGGTGCCGTCAAGGAGCGCTGGGCTCAAGTCGAGCACTGGCTCCATGACTTTCTCGAGATGCAGCAAAGCCAAAAGATCCACTGCAAGCAGACGCCGTATGCGCTGCGCAAGTTCCTCCTTATTCGCGACCACGACCTCGTCCGCTCCAAGGACTTGAGCGTCGAGCACGACCACGAGCAGGTCGAGGGCATGCTCGAGTGGTACGCGCACGAAGAGGCCAAGCGCGAGCTCATTCGCCTGCCCCACCATCGCATCACGACGGACATTGCGCGCGACAACTGGCTCAAGTATTCCGAGAACGGCCGCGACGCGCGCCTTCTCATCACCAAAGATGAGATGCGCATGAATGCTGAGAACGTCCGCGCAGCGCTCATGGACCGAGGCGTGCTTCCTGCGTACGTGCTGCATCTCCTCTTTCGAGCGCCTCACGGTGTGTAGGTCGATGCCGTGGCATGAGATTGCTCGCATTCGCAAGGCAACGGGGCAGTGGCCCAAAGTCGTGCTGGACGAGATTGATGCATTGGACGCGGCCGTCGATAAGAACGAGCTGTTGCGCAACCCTGAGCGCGTCGTCGAGCTCTCGACGGTGCTCGAGGACGTCGGCAAAGGCGACTTGCTCTGGAAGGTACTTGGAACGGTGGTCGGTTCTTGCGACTCAACATCGACTAGGTCAAGCACTGCGTCAACGAAAACAAAGAGACGGCAATCCCAAGCACGATGAAAGACCTCCTCTTCGAGTGCCAGCGCCGGGGCTTGGCGACGACCGAGCTCGACGCGCTCCTGAAAGGACTCGCGACGACGTTGCAGAAGGAAGAGCTCACGCGACGCACCATTCCCGTACCGGCCAACGCGAGCTATGAGAAAGTGTGTTCGATCCTCGTGGCGCACCAAGTCACCGAAGTGCCGCTTCCCGTCAAGATTACCGACATCCAAGACGCTCTGGTGGCGCGTCACTTGGACAAGAAAGGCGACGCGCAGTACGTCCGCGGCGTCCGTGTCAACACCGTGTCCCACGGCGCGCTCGGGAATGGTCCGTCGCCGCTCGGCATTGTCGACAGCCACGTCGAGCTCCTTCGGAAACAACTGCTCATGGAGGCGATGCGGAAGCGCAACTCGCTCATCAAGACGTTCCCAGTGGCGTCGCCGGTGTTGTTGGAAGAGACAGCAGACGTCGTCGAACTCGACATGAGTGGCAACAACGACGCGCTCGTCGACCGCTTCCACGCCTTCCTCGTGCACGAAACGTACTGCATCAAGCTCGCTTCGTACGCGGCCTTGGACCGCTGCGCGCGGGCACTCGTCGGTGTGCCCCGGGACCAGGTGCTGACCAAAGAAGACATGGCGCTGAGCCTTCAAAAGTACAAGGCGCGGCTTCCGGCCACGGCGTTCACGCGTGACGAGCTCCTCGGTGCTGCCAAGTCCCGTCTCATCAATGCGCCGACCGAGAAGCTCTTGGCGCAGTGCCCGAGCGGCGGCAACGCACCCGCCATGGCCTACTATGCCGCGCTCCGGACGACCGCGATCACCTTCCAAGAGAGGTTGCCGTTCACAGGGCGCGTCGCGACCAACCTCGGTGCCGTCGATGCGATGCCGTTTGAAGTGCCACGGGAGCTGCTGAGCACGACGGCGCTGCCACTCAACCGGAGCAAGCTCACATTGGGGTACGTCATGGTCGACTGGCTCCTCGGCAACGACGACACGCCGGTCGAGCTCCGGAGCGCGAAAAGCAAGTATTACCTCCAGCGACTGCAGTGGGTCTCGGCGGCGCTGACGATCCGCGACCGGTGGTGGACGCTCGGACGCGGCTGGTGCGATCTGCCCAGTGACATTGGTGTCGGCGTCAAGGTCCTTCTGGATCAGCTCATTTTGATGGCCGGCGAGAACAAGATGCACATGACCAACGCCGAGCGGCTGCTCAAAGAAATCAACGAAAAGTGCTTCGAGCTGCGCCTCCGTGAGAACGATGCACTGGAAAATATTCTGTTTCGGTTCAACGAAAACATGGCGCTGCTCGAGGAGCTCGTCGAACACGCCGAGCGGTGCATCAACAATCGCAAGCTGCACTCGGAGCGCACGCCCGAGCTTCTGCACCTCATCCAGCAGCACTGCGTCACGCCGAAGGGTACAGCTCGATAGGGACTCACTATCTATGACGTGTATCAACCGATCGGCATGTAGGGCTCAGCACGCGACACCAAGAGGCGTACCGTGTCGTGACGACGCACTGGCTGCCGCACGGGCGACAACTCGAGGAGCTTGTTCAAATGCACAAGGAAGGGACGTTCAGCATCCATCGGACACCTGAGATTCTCGAAGAAATGGCGCACCACACCGAAGGCATTGCCGGCTCGAAAGAGATCATCAAGCCCGCGGACGAAGCCGAGAACAACGACGCGTTTTCAGCGGCGCAGCTCACCGAGTGGCGCAAAGGCCGTCGCAAGTCGATGCTCAACGAGCTCCGCCCGGGCCTCTCGATCGAAGAGCCGGAAGTGTCGGCACCGATTTCTACCGAGGTCGAAACGTGGAAGTCGCTGTCGCCGCCGACCGCCACGAAAGCCAACGTCTCCCCGCTCAAGCGCTCCGTGACGTGGTCGTTTGACGCCGAGGCGACCAAGGGCGAAGCGTCGCGACCGGCGCTGCCCATCTTTCAGCTCCAGCACAAGCTCCAACCGCGCAAGGCGACACTGACAGAGGAGGTGTGCGAACTCATCAAGTCGCCGTCCAAGTGGTTTGAGCCCAAGAAGAAGATTGCGCGGATTCCGCCCCGGCTCTTCTTCCCACCCCAAGTCGCCCGCGACGATCATGAGTAGCAAAGACTTGCAACTGCATATTTCAAAATCAAAACCGGTGCATTCACGAGCCATTTGTTGCGTTGAGATTTGAAGTGCTCGATGATGTTTCAGTGTTGCCGATAGCCATAGCTCGGTTGTAGCCGACAATAGCTCAGGATCGGAATCGGACTTAGCGCATTATGTGCACATTCAAAAGAGGGGGTCGTATATATATTAACTATAGCGCTACGTCGCGTCGACGACACTGTTACGGCTTGATATACCGCACCTTGAAGTCCTTGTCCAGATAGTACCCGTGCTTGTGCAGATGGGTCGGCGGCAGCTCAATCATGAGGTCGTACTCGAGCACCTACAGCCCCATGAAACACCAAGGAGAAGCAAACGACCACGGACCTTGCTGCAAAAGAGCTCGTAGTCGTCGTCTGTCATCGGGCCGTACAGCAAGCTCCACTTGCCGTCGACGAGAATGAAGTAGTAGCGCTCGCACTCGCCGTGCTCGTACCAGCCCTCTTCGCCCTGGACTGTGCCCGGACAAGCGTTGAGAATGCCATTGGACTGCGTTTTCGAGCGGGACGATTTCTTGGTCGTGCCATTGCCTTCCTTCTTGCCGAGAATCGACCGCATCTTGTCCTGCATCTTGCCAATCGTGCTCTTGTTGCCGTTCTTCCCGGACGCATTCGTGCTGCCCGTGCTCGCTTCTTCTCGCAGCTCGTCCTTCTTTTGCTGCTGCTCCCGCGTCAGATACCCCGTCGTACTGGTGGTCGTCGTCGTTGCCGTCGTCGTTGTTGCCGTCGCTGTCGTCGTCGACGACGAGACCGACTTGTCTTCCTTGTGGCAATGTGCTATCTCGTCTGGGACTTCTTCGGCTTCGGTCGAGAGCTTGGCCTCCTTGTTACCCTTGGACACGCTCTCGTCATGGGCCTTCTTCTTGTCGGGCGTCTTGCTCGTCTTCTCCGGCTCTGGGTCGCTCTCGCCATCCTTGTTGGGCTTGTGCTTTCGTCGCCTTGAGCGCGATTCGCGGTCCGATGCGTCATCGCTCGAACGCGATTCGTCGTCGTCTTCATCGTCGTCATGCCGACGCCGGGACCGATGACGCCGGTGACGCGACGACCGGCGCCGCGTCGTGTCGCCATCGCTGCTCGACTCGCTGCTGCTATGACCTTTCTTGCGCGAGTGGTGGCGTTTGCGTCGGTGCTTCTTTTTCGACTTGCGCGGAGTCTCGGCCTCGTCGTTGTCGACCTCTTCGTCGTCGTCATCCGCGCGTTTCTTGGGCTTGGTCTTGCGCGCCGACTTGCGCGGCGTCTCGACCTCCTCGTCCTCTTCAATGTCGACGTCGTCCTCGTCTTCGTCAGACGAATGGCGCTTCTTCTGGCTCTTCTTCTTGGCCTTTTTCTTCTTCTTGCGTGGGGACGACGGCGCTTCGGTGACGGCGCCATCCTTGTCGAGAAACTCGACGTACGATGCAGGCACATAGCCGACTTTGCCGTTGCACTCACACTTTAAATAGCCCGTCTTCTTCGACGAATGGACCGTGAGGAGGTCGCCGGCTTTGAGCGTGAGCTCCTCGTCGTTCTTGGGCTTGCGGTCGCGAAGCGCTCGCGCCATGGTGGTGACGCTGAAAGAGGCATTCTCGTCGTCGGGCGGCGTTGCCTCGCGAGCGGTCTTGGGCGTCTTGTCACTGTTGTCGACATAGGACGTCGACGACGATGTGACCGGCGCGTTCGCGTAGGCGTCGATCGAGTCGTTGCTGAGGCCCTTGATCTGCTTGATGGGCTGCTTGGGCTTGGTCGTGAGCGCAGGTAACATGCTGGCTCAAGCACGCGACCGCAAGCCAAGCTGCAACTGACTTCCGCAACGAGGCGCAACCGAAACTGTTTGCAGCCGCCTTTCTGGCCAGGCCGCCATCCGGCGACAGGCTATTCTTGGCCGCCGTATCCGGAAAACGGCGCCAACGCTATTTCGCACAACGGCACGCACCCAACGCGGCCGTCCACAATGGACCGTCATCATTGGCGCTCTAGGATCGTATGCAGCTTGATAGCGTGAAGCTACTGCCTGCATCAGAGAGGATGAATTGAGGCGAACCCGTTCGCTCGTTCTCTCCATCACTACTAGCGTACATCGTTAAGACTAGCGTCTCGAGCAAGTCGGACTCTCGTTCGTGGAGTCGACGCGCGATCTAAATACGATGCAGCTAGGTGTATACAGATCTTATGGGAAAGAACCGTCATAGTTGGCCTTGTCAACTTGTGTTCAGAACCTACCTTCGCGGCGCTGCCAATAAAGCTGCTCACTTCCATAAAGATGCCTCTTTCCTTGCTACGTTCCTTGCGTCGCACCTCTAAAGCTATCAGGAACTAGTTAGTACTGGAACTACCGGTACTTGATTGAAAACAACGCTTCAAGATCCGACATTGACCAATGGTATCGCGCAGAGAGCCGCCAATCCTGTGCGACGATTGTTTGGATTTCCGCCAATCACATGCCGCTGCAGAAAGGATGCCATGCGTGGTGGCCCACTTCGCGAATTCCAAAATGGTCTCGGGCGTCCAATTTGTCAAGAGCTTGATCTCGCAGCACGGCGTCGTCGTCTTCAGCAAGACGACGTGCCCGTACTGCCGCATGGCCAAGGACGTTCTCGGCTCTGTCGGCGCGCGCTTCCACGTCGTCGAGCTCAACCAAATGGGCGACGAGCCCACGGGCGACGACGTCCAGAACGCCTGCTTCCAGCTCACGGGCCAGCGCACCGTGCCCAACGTCTTTGTCAACGGCAAGTCCATTGGTGGCGGCTCCGACACGGCGGCGCTCCAGAAGGCCGGCAAGCTCGTACCGCTTCTCAAAACCGCTGGTGCCTTGTAAACACAGCCCGCAACAAGATCTCGGATGGTGCGAAGTAATACATGCATATTGACCATCTTAGCACGGCAGCTGAAATGCAGACGTTTCGTGGCCTTCCATGGGTAGCTGCTCTCGGGCGCGGATGCTGGCGACGACCCACTTGGACGTGACAACGACCGGCTCGCTCCCCGCAGTGCGGCGTCGGGCTTGGATCCACGGACGCACGAGCGCAAGACGCTCTGCCGTCATCGGCCCGTCCGGCAGCACCACGTGTGTGACCCGGTGCGAGAGCGCTGTTTCGACTTGGCCGCCAAAGAGAGCAATGCACTGGGCAATGTGATGCATATCAGACGTCCGGTCCACCCGCGCGGGCAATACTGACGAATCGTCGTCCGTCACGATCGATGCAAACTGGTCGACGTACACGACGCAGTGCCAGAGACAGTTGGTCGGGCACGTGATCGCGGCTTGCTCGTCACCGTCGAGAGTCGCAGCGAGGTCTTGCCACGGGTGCGGCAGCGGCGCTGGAAACGCCGACGACTGCAAGAGGCGGTCGAGATCGTCCATCGTCAGCGGCGTCGTATAATGGTCGCCGTACGCATCGTACTGTGTCGTGAGGAGTGCCGCCGTTGGCGCCGTCGCAAATACATAGTCGGTCGCGCGCTTGGCGACTAAGCTCTATCCAAAAATGCGTGGAAATAGTCGCTCCCGAGGACGCGTACGCTGGCGTCGACACTACGGAGGACCCACTCGGCGTGCAGAATGTCGTACACGCCTTGCTTGATGTAGTTGCGTGTTTTCAGTCCGTCGGCATGCGGCGCCACAATCCACGTCGTCGCTGGCGGATGCAGCGCAGGGTGCGGGTTCTGCACACACGTGGCGCCGTGGGCGTGCAGAAGCTGCTCGAGACCCGGCTTGTCCAGCGTGCCAAGCTTGCCAGGGAGCACGCAAAACGTAGCCCCTATGTGCATTTGAAAGACAGCATACTCGAATCGGAGTTGATACCTGCAAACAGCGACGAGGCTTCTTCGACCTCGGCGAGGTTGGCCTGTGTGTATTGAAGCGCAACACCGACATGTCCTCGGTCCAAAGCCGACCGCTTGGTCTTTTGCGGTGTCGCCTTGCGCTTCGCCGTGTCCTTGTGGCCAAATGCTACATCGATCGCGCGCTTTTGGCTAAACTGCTGGCCCTTGAGCGCATTGAGCTGCGAGAGAGTGAGCGCCTCAGTCCAGTTCTTGTCATAGCTACAGCCAATATCCAATAGATGAAGACGCGATAGAAATGTACCGAATCGCTTTGACGCGCGGAAAGCGGAGCGTCAAGCCTGTTTGGTACTCGCTCGAGTACGTGAGCTCAAAGCCGTAAATCTCGACGCAAACCGAGTCTTCGGGGGCTAGCCACACGTCTGGGCGGGAGTCAGCCTTGGGTGTCCAGCCTTCAAAGTGCCCTGGTAGCTACATGTGCCTTGATACGACATCGCAGCGAACCGCGAGCGGGTACCTTGCCGGCTTCCCACGGGCGCCAGTGCGGCGCGAGACGCTCGCGAAGCGCCTCCAACTCTGGCAACGAATACCCCGAGCCCACTTTACAAAACGACACCACGGGTAGCGACGCATCCGTGTCCTTTGGCGTCCGCTCGAGTACCCCTAGCACGTCATATGACGTCACCGATACAAGCGACGGATCGCACCGAGAAGAAAATGGGAGACGGCTCCGCCGCGCCGACTGCCCGAGCCGTAGTAGCCGCCAATGACAAGCACGTCCAGTTGGCGGGTCATGCCGGCGTAATCGGGCTTGAGCTTGACCCAGCGCTGGCTCTTTCGACCGACCTCCCCGCACATGTAGTGGGACGTGGCGTCCTTGAGAATCACACCCTCGTAGCCGGCGAGCAAGCGGGCGTCGACTTCGGCCATGACGCGCTCGTGTCGGGCCTGCGCCGGCATTGATGCGGGCACAAGGACTTGCTCGATGCGTTCGACGCGGTGCGTCAGCGGCGTCAAAACTGCATCCAGAACTGAGAGGCGTGCAGAAAGCGGTAACCCTAATCCTCGTTTCAGCTGGGACGAGTTTTCATCGCGGTACCCATGATGTTGGTCGACGTCGACGCGACATTGGGGCAGGCTTTTTGGATGAGCGCAGCCGCACCGTCGCCGCCGCAGTAGACGATGTCCCAGACGACATAGCAGAGCCATTGTCCAGGGTTTTTGCTAGAACGATCATATCATAACTTTTCTCTGCGCGTATAGGACGGTGTACCCTTGGGCTTGCTCGATCGCGACCGTCTTGAGTGATCCAAACGACTCGTACTTGAACGCGACGCTGTCCCAAACGAGCATCTCGCCATCGAGAATGCAGTCGTACGCCGCGTGTACCTACGCCTCGAGTCTACCCTGTTGATTGCAAACAACGGCGTACTTGGGCCTCAATGTACGAGGCGATGGCCGGACCGTACTTGTCCGTGTAGTTGGTGCCGTTGCGCGTAATGAGCTGCGTCGAGCGGCCGCCACACGCCGTGCGCTGTACATGGCACGTGATACGCTCGCCGTCGAGCTTGGGCTCCATGTAAAATGCATTCGACTGCATCGCTTGGGTGCACTCGCCAAAGGACACGCGTTTTGCGAGCATCGGCGTAAAGACCTGGCCGGGCGTAATCGCCGGGACGTAGCGGACGCGCGAGTCGGTGAGCTCGTCGCAAACCTACAGGCCAGTAGAGTTGGACCTTCGAAATAAGCGAGAACCGTACGCGAGCCAAGTCGTTCGTGTGGTTGAACATCTCGGGTGCGTCCGGGTGGATGAAAGCGAGCACACGCTCGTGGCGCAGTCCAATCTTGAGGTCCTTGAGGATCATGCGGACAAGCCACTTCTGCTCCTCGCCCGAGAAGCGCGTGAGCATCTGCCGCAGCACGCGCTTCTTCTCAGTCATCGCATCGACGGTGTGCACCCGGTTGAGCGCATCAAGGAGCCCATTGACATCGTTAAGGGTCACGGACGCATCGCAGGGCTTGGCTCGGTATTGCATCACTTGCTGGACCACGGACGAAAAGTCGCCGACCGCCCGCGTCGTCACAATTGTCGGGTCCGTCCAATGCAATAGCATCTTGCCGTCTCCGCTATTGGCGCTGATGCCGAGGAGCTCCACGTACAGCGCGGCGAGCTTCTTCTCCTTGAGCTTGTACGTCCGGTCGCGGTCGAGGTGTGGCAGGAGCAGCCGCAGCAGCGGGTACACCGAGCCGCCGCCGCAGGCTGCGCGCAGCTCAGCGCTGAAGATGAGCTTGAGCTTGGCCTCGCTCTTATTCGTGCTGGCGACGCGCTCGAGGAGCGCGCAGAAGCTTCCAAAGGGCAACGTCCCGGCCATCGCGATTCAACGGCGCAATGCAACGTCGAGCCCAATATGAGCACTATGGTGAATGATGGTCATTTGCGCCACCGTGATTGGTTAAAAAGATAGCCAATGGCCTTCTCGGATGACTGCCACCGCACTGCCCTCGTCACCGTCCTCGTCACGGCGCGTTCGTTGCAACCACGCAGGCGTCCTTAATCCTAGACGACGACGTGACAGCGCGCCATCGACGAGCTGCTCCGCCCAACTGCAAGCTATTGTCTAGCTCATAGCGTCATCCAGCTTGGAGCTCTCTACCTTGTCCTGCGAGCGATGATTGAAAACCATAGGGCCGTGCGTCGACCTCGTTGAGCTGGAGCACCGGCGCTGGATGCGACCGCGGCTGGACTTGCTGCACCCTTGGTGGGTCGAGGGAGGGTCGTTGGTGGTTGACGCAAGCGCCGGCAGTTGCACAAGCGACGGCTTCGTGGCCAATGGCCGTTGGTCCGATTTGCAATCGCTGCTCCTCAGCGTGTCAGCGACATGCTGCCAGCTGGCGCGATCGTCGTACCTCGCGCCTTTTTCACTATCAGCGCCAAGCTTGGTTTGAGTATACTTTGCAGGTGCGACACGTATCTTGGGCAAAACCTAGGTTTCGCCCACCTCGTCGCCAGGCGGCTTATCATTGTCCCTACGGCAGCAGCATGCGCGGAGAGGGCGACGCGCGGTTCCACTCGCTGGGCGCGATCGCCGAGCGCCGAGCGAACGCTGCGCTGCAGATGCTCACGGAGGCGACGTCCAGTGGCTCGTGCTGGCAAGACATTGGCGCCAAGGATGGCATCGCGCTGGCCAAGACGACGGCCGACTGGAAGGTCTTTGTCGCCAACAAGGCCGTCGCGTCCATCGAGACGAAGCTGCCGACGCTCGTCAAGCGCCTCTTCTCCAACGACCACACGGAAGCGTGCCATACGTTCACGCAGGAGGTCTTTCAAGACACGTTCGTCGACGCCGCGGTCGTCGCGACGATCCCACCGGACGCGTCCGGCGCCATTGACGTGCCCACGTCCGGCGTCTCGGCATTCCACCCGACGCACAAGCGCATGGCCGTGAAGTGGTACGCGACCGCCGGCAAGTCCAAGCTCCACAAGCCCCTCGACCACCTCGTGCTCGAGTTCATCGGCCTCGTCCTCGAGCATGGCCGCTTGAAGTGCTGCTACCTCTTCCAAGAATCGCTGCCCGAGTCGACCAACGTCCGTGCGCCGAGCGACAGTGCACACTACGAGCGCATGCAGATCGACGCGCTCATCATGAAGTTTGAACGCGGCGCGCGTCTGAACGGCTCGGAGAACGTGCTCATGTCGGTGGCGCTCCAGCGCATGCCGTCGCTCCTCGACCTCGGCTTCAAGAACCCGGCACAAGACATGGTGCTCAAGCTCGCAAAAGGCTTTCGCGACGCACTCCAAACCGTCAAGTCGGTCACACTCGACATGAACTTTGTACAGACTGCTGCGTGGGTGCCGGACAGCGACCGGCCGTTCTGCTCGATCTGCGACCGGCCGTTCCTGTCGTTCTTTCGTCGACGCCACCACTGCCGCGTGTGTGGCGAAGTCGTCTGCGACCAGTGCTCCAACATTCTACCAGCGTCGTCCCAGCACTCGATTCCAGACCGAAACAACGTCCAGACCGTGTACATCCAAGCCGACATTCGGCTCTGCTGCCGCTGCCTCCTCGAGCGCCAAGGCCAAATGAACCAAACCGGTGATTTGGACATTGATGAGAACGACCTCTTTGTGTGGCTCGAGCCCGACGGCAATGCGTCGCCGCGCTCGACCATCTCGCAAGCACGCTTCACGGGCGGCGACAACCTCGCCAACCGCATCTCGGAAGGCTCTGAAGATCGCAGCTTCGAGTCCAGTGACCATACACCGCGGTCGCGACCGGCCTCGAGCCCCCTCCACTCCGAGCACCAAGCAAGCTCGCTGGGCTCAAGAAGGTCGCGAGCCACACCGCCACCGCCTGAGCCGTACGAGCCAATGCGCCGTCGGGTGCCAACACCGCCGCCGATCGAGCCAGAGCCGATCCAGTTGGCGCACCGGCCACCGTCGCCACGGACGCGTGCTACGTCCTGGCATCGACGCGAGGAGCCGCGGCCTGTCCGGCTCTACGACGACGACGGTGGCCGCCGAAGCATCCAGCGCAGCCAGTCGGACCGAGGGCCCGAGTACCGACCACCGCTGACCATTGACCGCAAGTATGCAGCGCTCGACTCGCCGCCGACGCCGCCGCGCCGACGGACCTCTTCGGTGGAGACCTCGCCGGTGCGCGTGGCGTCGGCGTGGGCCGTCAAGACGCCGGAATCGGGTACACGATGACGCCGTTACTGTTTCAGTCGTGCTCACGCGCTCGTAGATGCGATCGACGTGGCGTTCAAGGAGCTCATTGGGAAGCTTCGTGGTAGCGTCGACTTTCTCGTCGTCTCGTACTCGGAGGGTTGCGACGGCCAGTACGTCCTGCACCGCCTCCAGCAGCTAGCGCCGGGGGTGCCCTTTGTCGGCGGCACGATCGGCCGCGGGATCTGTGACGAGACCGCGTGGGTCTCGGTCAAGCGCGATACGCTGGTCGCGCTCTGGGGCGTGCACGATCCCGAGGGAAGCTACGCCGTGAGCTACGTCGACTACACCGAGTCGTCGGCCAAGGCGAAAGCGTTCAAGGCCACGCAGGCCGCGCTCGGGTACGCCCAAACCGCGCTTCCTGTCGCGAGCACGCAGAGCCCCGTACGTGCCCCACTTGGATCTCAATTGCCCACGCCATGTTGACATGCAGGACTTTTGCGTCGTATATGCGTCGCCGCTCGGGATTGACGAAGCCCTTGCAGGGATTCGCGCCGGTGTCAACTGCCCGATCCTCGGCGGCTGCTCGGCCGTCTCGTCCAACCGCGACCGACTACGTACGTTCTCTCGTGCTCCACTCTTCGGACGAGCGCTGACCGGTGGCTAGTTCAACTTGGCAGTTGCAGTGGCGGCTTTCGGCGACACGGCGGCCGCATGGGCGGCAACGGCAGCCACATTGGTGCCGCGATCGCCTTGTGCTACCCGAGCGTCGAGACCGTCGTCGACTGGTTCAGCGGCTACAAGCCGCTCGTGAGCGACGACGGCGAGCTCTGCTCGGGCATGGTCACGGCCGCCGACACGGAGCAGCAGACCATCTACGCGATCGACGACCGGCCGGCCGCCCACATGTACAAGGCGTGGCTGCGCGTCGCGTCGGAGAAGTGCCAGACCGACTTTTTAACGTCGCGCTTCCCGCGGCTCGGCTACATCCACCCGTTCGGGTGCCTCCTCAACGACAACAGCGTGCACTCAACCCCCGTGATTGTCGGGCTTGACGACGCGACCGGCGCTGTCGCTACGACGACGCCGATTCCCGAAGGCACGTACGTGGCGCTCATGGAGTCGTCGCCAACGACGCTGCAAGACGCCGTCGCCAACGTACGCGATCGATGCTGTTGGAGATGTCTCATTGCGTCGCCGTGTAGATGGGCGTGCGCGTCGCAGCCGCCAACAAGTTCCACGTGCGCGAGGTCGTGGGCACCCTCCTCTTTCTCTCAACCGGCATGCAAGTCGTGCTCGGGTCGCAGAGCATGGCCGGCATGGTTGGCGCCTACAAGGAGTGGGCGGGGCCCGCCGGGCTCCTCGGGCTCACGGCCTTTGGCGAGATTGGCCATGTACAGTCCGAGGCCCGCGCCGTGCCGCACTGCGACTCGCTCATGTTTTCGGCGCTTGTCTTCTCCAACCGGCGAAAGAAGCTGTAAGTATGTACAATACTACTATATGGATGCGTCAAGACACTGCACCGACGTCGTCGACGGCGCCACGAGCGGATGGCGGTAAAAGGGCCACCGCGCTGGCCTCGGCGCTGGCATGGGTGCGTGGCGTCGGCGAGGTCGTCGCCGGCCATGGCGGTCGTCGTGGTCGTCACCTGTCATGGCGCAGGGGCATGCGATCTTGGCATGGCCGAAATCGAACCGAGCGTGGGGCTGCGATTTGATTGGTAGAAATGTGTGTGGGGTGAACATAATATTAAAATTCGCGTATATTTTTCAGCAGTTGGCAAGTTGCGCGATGGGAGACAGCAAGAAGGACCGCCCGAGGGAGTCGTCGTCGCGGAAGAGCAGCCGGCGCAGCCGCAGCAGGGACGACCGCCACAAGCGCAGCAGCAGGAAGCGAAGCCGAAGCCATGAGCGCGGCCGCGAGAAGAAGGAGCGCCGGCGGAGCCGCAGCCGGACCCGCGATCGGTCCCGGGATCGATCCCGCAGCCGCGACAAGAGCCACCGGGAAAAGAAGCGCAAGACGTCACACTCGCGGTCGCCCGAGCCGCCGCGGAAAAAGAAGGACGTGGCGGAGAAGCGCGATGCGGATGTGGCCAAGCCATTGGCGGCGACGACGGCGGAGAAGACCTCGCCGGCGCGCGAGCCGGCCAAGGGACCCACGTTGTTTGGTGGCCTCGCGCTCAAAGACAAGAAAAAGTCTGCGCGAAGCGAGGTGAAATCGGCCAAAGAAGACAAGGCTGCGCTCGAAGAGGCGGAGAAGGAGAAGCGCCTCGAGCGCCTCCGACTGTGGCGCGAGCAGCAGCAGCAGCTCCAAAAGAATGAAGAGGCCGAGCCCAAGACGATCGCCCCGAGCGTTGTGCCAGCCCCGATTGTCGTCAACACGGGGTTCCTCGTCGAGGACGACGACGAAGTCAAGCAAGTGCACATTTGGCCCATGGACGAGAAGGAGGAGAAGGAGCTTGAAGACGACAAGGCCAAGATGCACCAAGAGACCAAGATCGACCCGCTCGATGCGTTCATGGCCGAACTCACGAACGAAGAGCATACAATCGAGCAGCAGTCGCTTCCGTTACAGGGCGCTCCAAAAGTCATCTCGCTCGAAGACATCATGTCGACGTCGGGGCCACGGCTCGACTTTTACGGCTCGTTCTTGCCGACCGAGTCGAACACAGTCAAGCCGACGGCCGAAGGACCGATGGAGCCGCTCGTCGAGACGGACGCCGAGCGCGACGCCCGCGAGAAGCGCGAGCTCGAAGAGTTTATGCGCGCGATCAAGACCAAGCGCGCGCAAGAAGAGAAGGCGATGACCACTGGCGTACTCCTCAAGGCCGACGACGACGAGCCGCCGCTCGAGGTCAAGAAGACGGAGACGGGGCGCATCTACCAAGGTACCGAGGAAGACGCGATTGGCGAAGAGATGGAAGATGAAGACACGCGGACGGCGCTCGAGATTCTCCAAGAGCAGCAAAAGCGCAAGGACATCAAGCCCGTGGATCACGCGCAGGTCGACTACATTGCGTTTCGCAAGAAGTTTTACATTGAGCCGCAAGAAATCGCCAATATGACGCCGGACGAGATCAACGACGTGCACAAGGACCTCGAGATCAAGATCCGCGGCAAGAACTGCCCGCGCCCGATCCTCAAGTGGACGCAAGCCGGCCTCAGCGGGCGCCTCCTCAAGCTCATTACGCGCCAGGCGTACGAAGCGCCGTTTGCGATCCAGTGCCAAGCGTTGCCCGCCATTATGTCGGGCCGTGACGTCATTGGCATCGCCAAGACGGGCTCAGGCAAGACGCTGGCGTTTCTACTGCCGATGTTTCGGCATATTCTCGACCAGCCGCCCTTGGCCGACGGCGAGGGCCCGATCGGGCTCATTATGGCGCCGGCGCGCGAGCTCGTGCAGCAGATCTACCTCGAGTCGAAGAAGTTTACGAAGGACCTCGGGCTGCGCTCGACAGCGGTCTATGGCGGCTCGTCGGTCTCGGAGCAGATTGCCAACTTGAAGCGCGGCTCGGACATCGTCATTTGCACGCCCGGGCGCATGATTGACATTCTCTGCATGAGCGCGGGCAAGATGGTGTCGCTCAAGCGCGTGACGTACGTTGTGCTTGACGAGGCCGACCGCATGTTTGACATGGGGTTTGAGCCGCAGATCACCAAGATCATGATGAACATTCGCAACGACCGCCAGACGCTGCTCTTTTCAGCGACGTTTCCCCGCGCCGTCGAGACGCTCGCGCGCAAAGTGCTCAAAAAGCCGATTGAGATTACGGTCGGCGCGCGCAGCACCGCGTCGGGCGACATTACGCAGTACGCCGAGGTCCGCGAAGAGCACGACAAGTTTATGCGCCTCCTCCAGCTCCTCGGGGTCTGGTACGAAAAGGGCAACGTGCTCGTGTTTGTCAACACGCAGCAAGCGTGCGACACGGTGTTTCAAGACCTTATGAAGGCCGGGTATCCCGCGCTCTCGCTCCACGGCGGGAAGGACCAAGTCGATCGCGACTACACGGTCGACGACTTCAAGCGCAAGGTGCGCACGCTCATGGTGGCCACGTCGGTGGCCGGTCGCGGTCTCGATGTCAAGGACCTCGTGCTCGTCATCAACTACCATTGCCCCAACCACATTGAAGATTACGTGCACCGCGTCGGCCGCACGGGCCGTGCCGGGCGCAAGGGCACCGCATACACGTTCATTTCGCCCCAGGTACACGACGATGACTACCATGGAGTGCGATGGACCGATTTTCGTAGGAGGACGAGTATGCCCCGGATTTGGTCAAGGCGCTCGAGACGGCCAAGCAAGCAGTACCACCCGAGCTGATTGCACTTGCCGACGGCTTCAAGGAGAAGGTAGACCCCACGCTTATCGCAACGAACGCATCACGTTCCATGGCATTAGGTCAAGAATGGTCTGGCGCGGTACCATGGCAGCGGCTTTGGCGGCTCGGGCTTTACGTTTGACGCGACGGAAAAGTCGGAGGCCCAGCGCGCGGCGGACGCCCAGCGCCGCCATTATGAGATTGACCAGGGCATGATAGACGCAACGGTATGTGTCTTCTCGGCTGCGAAGATGTCTTGACTCGGGTGTCATACCATAGGACAATGACGGTCGGGACGACGACGACGACGAGAGTTCGGCCAAGGCCCAAGCCTCGGGGTCGAACGACGATGCATCGGCCTTGTCGACGCGTACGGCGACCGGGATTGACAAGGCGCGCCTCGTCATTGAGCGTCTCCAGGCGATCAAGGAAGGGACGTTGTCGCTCAAGGAGACGACGCATTTTCACGAGGAGCTCGAGATCAACGACTACCCGCAGCAGGCGCGCTACAAGGTCGTGCAGAAGGAGGCGTCGGACATTGTCGCCGACATGACGGGCGCGTCGGTGATTTGCCGCGGCACGTACTTGCCCGCCGGCCGCAAGCCGCAGCTGGGCGAGCGCAAGCTCTACTTGTCGATCACCGGGTCGTCGCGCCTCGCGGTGCAGCAGGCCAAGGCCGAGCTGCAGCGGATACTGGACGAGAAGACGCTCGAGGTCGGCCTCTCGGACAACAAGTATGGCAAGTACACGATCTAGTCGACGATATAATTATGGTAGTTTTTTTAACGCTCACAAATAGCAGACGAGGTTTCCTAGATGACAATATTTCGTCGTAACAATAAAAATACAAGCTACGACCAATCAAAGACGCCGCCGTCCGCTGTTTTGACCAATCCGAGGGGTGCAATGTCGGACGCGGCTTCCAGCAGCTTGTTGGCCAAGAGGATAAGAAGACGCGAGGATGAACTGGATGCTGCTCTTGACGCTGCTCAACCTCGTCATGACGGGGCTCTACTTCTACAAGAGCGTCGTGCTCCTCGAGCTCACGCAGGAGCTCAACACGTTCGACAAGCTCCACACCGAGTTTGGCCGGCAAGAGATCGAAGCCGCCTGGGAGTACAGCGTTGCCTTGGCCGTCGCCGTCGCCTCATGCGAATCTAGGACAATTGAAGACTTCCACGAGAACCACGAGCATCCCGCCTGCGCGTTGCAGGAGTATGCGGTCGGCAACATGGCGCACGTCAAGGCGGTCGATGGCGCCCGCGCCCGCCTCGTCCACTGGTACCTCCGTCTTCTTCGCATGCAAACGTCTCAACGCTGGGCCAGGTACCAAAAGGTCACGTACTTTCACCGCCATGGCCTTCTGGAAGACCGCCTCTTTGCCGAGTTCCCAGGCGCCTGTACGCTCCTGCAGCACAGTGTGTGAGCATCATGGCGTCTTGTAGTCCGCACGCAGCAATTCATCGAGCGCGTCGAGCCGCTCTCGCTCCTCGTCTGCGCCCAGCGTGGCGTACGATCACTTGTTTCGTGTACGCTGAAGCTCATGGCGTCGTAGGTGCCGGACTGCCACCTCCTCTTTGACACGCTCCGAAGCATGTATGGGCTGCCGGCGCGCTCCGGCAAGATGCAATGTGTGCCCGACGTGACGGTGGCGACAGCCGCAGCGCAGGAGAAGGAAGAGTTGTAGAGCGATGCGCTGAAGCGACTATGTGCTACTGAGCCAAGACAAGAAGACAAGGGCAACAGGTATAAACAAATTTAGTGCGCGGACGCTTGCTTCGACATGCGCACGAGGTTGGAGAGGAACTTGGCCTGGTCGGCCGTTCGGTGAATGTACACAATCTTGTCGCCCGAGAACGAGTAGTTGGAGACACCGTCGATCGACACTTCGCGGTCGAGCACGTTGCGGAAGAGGTCGAGGAACTCCTTGTTCATGCACTCGCCCGTGTCCTTGATCGTGCCCGTAAAGACCCAGTAGACGCGAAAGTGCTGGCTGCGCGGCCCGCCGCAGTCGATGCGCGTGTGCGTGATCTGGAAGTTCTTGAAGAGACACTCGGTGCAGAGGTAGTCGAGCACAATGGCGTCCTTCCCGCGCAAATGCACCGAGTTTTGCGGCCCGCTCACGATCGAGTCTTCGCGAAAGTACTTCATCGTCTCTTCAATCATGCTCGCATTGTACATGGCGTGCACGTCTTCGATGATGCGCGTGCGCGCGAGCTGGAGCGCCTCGTACTCCGAGTCGGTGAGAATTTTCTTGGTCGTCGCGACCGAGCCCTCCATGCGGCTCTCGAGCTGGCGAATCTCGTTGAGTAGCTTGTTGCGGTGGTCTTCGAGGCGGCCCTTCTCGTTCTCCAAGTGGTTGATCTTGTCGAGCTTGCGCTGACGGCTCTTGCGCGCCGCAATGCGGTTGCGCTCCCGCCGCAGCTTCGAGTCGTTGCCGTGCCCTTCCGAGTTGTCTGAGCCGCTGTGCGTCGACGTCGGCGTGCCGCACTGGTTGGAGGACATCGCGTCCGCCCGCGAGTAGTCGCTGCTCAGCGTCGGCCGCGTCATCGAGAGGCCCGGGTTGCTGTGCTCCATGTAGTACGGCTGCTCGGAGCGGCCCATGCGCGGAAGGTGCGCCACGCACATGCCATGCGAGTGGGCTGCGTTCGGGCACATGGCGACCGAGCACCGGAGGTCGCCGACATGGTGGTTGTTGTTCATCTTCGTTTCTCGTCGACAAATGCGACCGTGCCCGAATTTTTTTCCACCAAAACGATCTGCATACAAACCACAAGGTATTTTTGAACGACGGCAACACGGGCTGACCTCAAGGAACACTATTTACTCTACATAATATAGTGTGATAGGCAACGGCTGTAGCAGCAACATGCCACGCAAGAACCAAGCGCAGCCAGATCAGTCACAACATGCAAGTGCCCAGCAACGGCGCTTCAGCGTCAGAGAGCTGCGAGGCTAGTCGCAGACAGTGTCGCTGACGTTGGTGTCCAGTGATCCTGGCAAGATTGAGTGACAGATCCGAATGCCACCAGCTACTAGTACTGACAGCCCGGCAAGAGCTCAAGCCATCAAGCCAATACACCCACCGTCGCACTGGACTTCAACAGGTACCGGTACAGCTCGGCGCGCACGACACGGTGTAGTCACCACCTGCGTCCAACGCCATGGGCTCAATTCTTCCTGCTCGTACGATGAATAGTCTCGCAGTCCTGACCCCCCCCCCAAAACGCGGCGAATATGACGCGGCAAATAAGACGCAGCTCCTCTCGGCGTTCGAGTCGGGCAGAACGCGGGCCAAGGTGTCGACGTCGGTGTCGTGCGAGGGCGTCGACTTTCCAATGTGCGGGTGGTCATTTGCGCCGACCCGATCGCATGCCCCCGCATGAGTGCCCAGGTAGGCTTCCTGACATTAATTGCACTAGGCGAACGATCGTGGTTGGCGCGATCGTTCGCCCAGTGCAATTAATGTCTGAAAATGGCTAAAAAGAGTCGTCGTCCACGATTACGGTACTGTACATCTGCTGCTGCCCGACCTGCAGGGCGTGTGTGATCCTCAGGCGTTCTCGCTCCTCTTCACTCTGCCGCAATGAGCCACTGCATCACTCTGAGATGTTTTGGTAGGTGGCACATTTGGATCTCGTGGAAGCCTCGTCACGTGGCCTTGGTGCGCGGTGGGTGAACCTCTGTCTCGAACGCACAGCCTACTCGTAGCGCGTGTGGGGGTTGGGTCGGAGCGCAACGAACCTAAATACGAGAGGTAGCCATTCGGTTGGGCATCTTGGACGGCGCCATTGTCCCAAATCAAGTCAAAGCCGCCAACCTACATGCAGCGATACGACGTGTGGGCAGTCGACCACATCACGTACGTGCTGCTCGTTGCCGCTGCGCTGTCTTTCCATGTCGACGACCTGCATCGTGTGCTTGATCAAGTTCCACTTGAGGTTGTAGTCCTCGTCCGTGTCTAAGCAAAAGCATCACATTTGGACGGGTGCTCGCTCGTTTACACGGACCTCCCGTGAGAGACGGCGACGCGTTCACTTCGAGGAGCCACGGCTTCAAGTCGCTGTCGATGAGCACATCATAGCCGTAGAGCTCGAAGCAGTGTTTGTTCTGGATCAAGATGGGCTGGACGGCCTGGAGCGACCGCAGAACGACCATCTACGACATGTACCTACTAGGCCGCCAAATTCTCTGAAAAAGTATTACTTGGATGTCATAAAAGAGCATGTCGACAGCCTGCACGCCGTGCTTGGAGACCATGAATTGCTTGAGGTGCGCGAGCGGCCACTTGCAGCCAACGGTTTTGTCGTAGTCGGACGCCGTTTTCTGGACCGACGCATTGGTCAAGTGCATGTCTACGCCAGTCGCGTCAGCTTTTTCGTCGAGATAAGGATACTTGTGTACACAAGTTGTCCATTGTCGTCTTGTCTTGCGAATAGCGCGCGCTCGAGAAGCGACCAAAGCCTGGTCTCGATAGTATCAACTTGATACGACGAGCCAAGCAGGTACCTGCGCGGTACATCCACACAATCAGCGGCGAAAAGGACGTGACGAGCACGTAGAGCCGCAAATCAAACTTCTTGCCTACACATACGCTGTTCCACTGCCACAAATAGAGAGTTCTACCTCCGATCGTGTACGGGTTCTCAATGTACTTTTGAACAATGTACGTATCGGACGTCTTGGTCTAGTCACGTCGTTGAGATTGAGATTGAGGTTGACGGAAGGATGGAAATTGGACGGTGGGGTGACCGTCAATGCACCTGGACAACGTCGGTTCTCCACGTATGGTCCTTCTTCCACTCGCTAATTTGGCTGAGCTTGTCAAAGAGAAAGATACCGCGGCCTTGCGCCTTCCCGATCGGCTTCATGATCCAGAGCGCGCCAGGATACCGCTTGAAGTCCTCGAGAAACATGCCATACTCCATCGGCAGCACGAACGTGGCGCTCCAAAAGTCCGGTATGTCGTCCGACGCGAGAAGGTCGCTACGTGTAGCTTTAGTCCTTGATGCGTGCTTACTTGGCGTACTTCTTGGACTGCTGCCGCTTCATGCGCTTGAGGTTCTTGATGAGAAGGTCCTTCCGCGTGAGCTCGTAATGGTTCTTGAAGTGGCTGATGCGCTGGTGGTCGCGCCACTTGGGCTCCATGGCGTCAAAGTTCTCGCGCACCCAGCCCACGTCGGCCCAGTGCAAGTCCCACTCGACGTCGCTCTCGGTCTCTTCCCACCCGTCGAGGGCGGCCATGACGTCGACAACCGTGTTGTGGAGCGACGTGCGGAAGCGGACCTTCACGCTCGCATCCCGTGGCGTAGTCGTCGTCGTCGTCCTACGCAGAAGCATAGGCATGCAGGCTCGTCTTCCTTGCGCACCGCTTCTCGCGGGTCTCGGGCCGGCGCTTGCGGAGGTCCATGGATCTTGCGTGTTTTTAGCCGCTTTGCTTGTTACGACCGCTAGAACAACGTTATAACGCGCCCATCTGATCTATAACACCAACTGGGAACTTCGAAGCTTGGACAGAGGTGGACAAGGGTCGGTTTCGTCCACCCTCATGATGCCAACAGTTGCGCTCGAGCTCGCTGAATTTCTCGAATTTTAGCCTCTCTTCCACCCAGCACTTCCACCCTCTTGTGTGCGACACCAGATGTGGTCGCGGCTCGTGGCAGCAGCTCTCGTCAGCTGCGACGCGAAGACTTCAGTGAGCCATCAAGAAGAACCCGAAAACCAGGTTCTGGAATTTGCCCGTCAAGACGCGTGCACGTGATTGGCTGCCACATGGTGCAACTTGACGATGATTGGCTGAAATTAATCGAGCGCTTGCAAACAGAAGAAAAAGGCCAGCGCGACTTCAACTTGGAGCAGCACAGGACGACAGAAAGTCGCACAACTCAATCTCCTCCGCGATGGCCACCACGCTCAAGTACAGCGCCAACGTCGAGATGCAGGCCAAGAACTGGCTCGGCCTCACGACGTGGAAGTTCCAGAACTGGGCGCTCGACGGCAGCTCGCTCACGATCGCCCACGCCAGCTGCCTCAAGCGCGACGCCAACAGCACCGTCAAGTACACGGTCGTGCACGGCGGCGCGTGGAGCGCCCAGCAGTTTGGTCTCCGGGTCCAGACAATCGAGAACGGCGAAATCTTTGCCTGCGCGACCTCCAAGACCGCGTGGGCCATGTGGCTCAACGCGTTCTTCGCCCTCGACGCCAAGAACAAGCTGCAGACGTCGCGCGACTCGACGACGTCGACGACCGAGACACAAGGGAGCGACGACGAGCGCTCCATCACCGACTCGCCACCGCGGCGCCTGACAAAGAAGGTTTCGTTCAGCGGCGACGTTCGGGTGCGCATGATCGAGCCGCGGCAACCGACCGAGCCCGAGCTGAACGCAAAGTTTGCCCTCCAAGCGGCCATCTTTAGCTGCTGATCGGCAGCTGCCGCGTGTGGCGTCCCTGTGCCACGTATATTATTTGATGTGTGAATGTAGCATAGTAGAGGCAAGTGCTGTTGTAAATTAAATATGAAAAACGTCGCAACCCATCTTACTCTCAAACCTGTCTCTCGTCCTTTATGATCTGCAGCTCCTCGCCTGCCTCCTTGATGTGCATCGAGCGAGCTTGGGCTATCATAGGCGTGCACATTATATTACCTACTAGTACAACCACTGGCAGCGACAGGATGCCACCATCGCGGCTCATATGGCGGCGATTCCATGCAGCTTGGGTCGACCTAGCTGCCCACCTCCGTCAATGTTGTCTTGAGCGATAGAAAAGCGCCCCAAGATTCGCAAGATGTCAACGCAGTGCTTGCCATGGTATTGCGGCTCGCCCTTTCATAAACCGTGGCATCACCTGCCGGTTCTATGGGACGAGGCGACATAGAACCCGTGGCGTCCACATCGCCGTTATCACGTGAGACGACTCTGAGATATTGGAAGGCGATTCAGATAGTGTTGAGAATATTTTAGTCGCAACTTCAAGGTGGATGCACGCCACCTCATCGCAAATACAATACACACCTTCGGTTTGTATGGATCTTTGCACATCACGCGCGTCAATACAAATCTTGCGATCAAATAAAACGAACCGAATAAAATGACATTCTGGTTCAAGTTGCCAAAAACACGACAAGATACCGTTGCCAGATCGCGCGGGATTTTGTCACCCACTTCGGCACGTCGGAGGCGTCCGGTGGGCTGCTCACTTTTCATTTGCCTTCGCACCACCATGCACCACTTTACCAAGATCTACCACCCGTACTTCCACGCGCTCTCGAGCTTTCCGGACCCCGAGGGCTCGGAGGCCATCTTCCTCGACATGATCAAGGAGAACCCCATCATGCCGGCCACGGAGCGCTGGTGCATCCAGACCCAGATCGCACGCACGTACCTCCAGCGCGCCAAGTACCCCGAGGGCCTCGCCGTCCTTGATGCCATCGAAGCCGAGGTCGCCGCCGACGACCTCAAGCACAAGAACGAACCGACCAACCCGCTCAAGGTCGAGGTGCGCGTCCGCTGCCACGCCGAGCGCGCGCGCATTCTGCGCGACATGAAGGAGAAGGCCAAGGCCCTCCCGCTGCTCGCGACTGCGTGGACGCTCATCGAGTCGGTGCCGGCGTTCCCGGACGAGGACCTCGCGCTGGACGTGCTGCACCTCCTCGCGATGCTCCAGAACGACCCTAACGACAAGATCTCGTGGAACAAGCGCGCGTTTGCGATGGCGACCAAGTCGACGCACCCGGACGCCACGCGCTGGGTCGCGGTCCTCGGCGACAACCTCGGCTGGAGCTACCTCGAGACCAACCACGCCGACGACGCCGTCACGCACTTTGAGGCCGCGCTCGCCGCGCGCAAAGCCATTGGCGACGCCGAGTGCATCCGCCTCGCCAAGTGGATGGTGGCCCGCGGTCTGCGCGCGGCCAAGAAGAACGAAGACGCCATCAAGGTCCTCGCCGAGCTCGAGACCGAGTACGCGTCGATCGACGACTGCGACGGCTACGTCTGCGAAGAGATGGCCGAGAACCTCCACGAGCTCGGCCAGGACGAGGCCGCCAAGCCGTACTTTAAGAAGGCGTGGACCGCGCTCCAGAACGACACGCTCATGTGCGAGCACCACCCCGAGCACCGTCTCGAGCGTCTCCACGAGCTCGGCAACTAGTGTGTAGATATTGTTTTCCGTAATGAATACTGTTGTATGTACACGTTCATATATATGTACACGTGGCGTGCTGAGAGCGGCGAAAGGGTTCACATGTCAGTCGGTAAAATACATCGATGGAAATGTGAACTTCGACGCCTTGCGATCCTGACCCGGCACTGGCGCGATGCAGTATCTCTTGCCTTGGTTGCTCGGCCGTGCGTTGTCGGTTCTGCGTGGTTGGCATTCTTTGGCGTCAAGAAGGTTCGAGTTGAGGCTGTGTTCTTGCCGCGTCGTATCTTCGTTGCATGTACCTCGTCACGTGCAATGAGACTTGCGTGAAATCGACGAACTCTCGTAAGGTGAATCGGCGTTGGCTAATGTTTACCGCATAGTCAAAAGGACATTGCGAGGATGCCTACCGTATATTTGCTTGTTGGTTCAAGACTGGAGGATCATTCTGTGCATATTACTTGCATTGCTAGCGCATAACAAGCCCTGAAAGGCGCACAGCGCGACGCGGAAATTCGTGCCTACCGGAAATTGGGTTGGAGGCCGGACGACCCTAGAAATAGGATCTTCGATCTGTAAAATTTGAATAACTCATTTCAACAACGACCCGGACACGGCGAGCGGTTGTGTTTTGGTCTGTCGCATATCTTCTCGCAATCTGATTGGCCACCTTGGTATCCGGATGACCATCAATGACAACCAAACACGAGCAAACGCGATCCGGTCAAATCCTGTCAGATTCACCGTGCACCAGCAACAAGCTTTGAGCTCACAACTCATTCTGCTTCCTCCCAGCAACACACTACCAGCAGCATGCTCGCTCGCAACATCGCCCTCTTCGACGCCCCCAAGCCCTACGGCCTCATGTGCTTGACGGTCACCATCCACGAAGCG